CACTTACCATCAGGTGGACTGTATGCTCGTTTGTCACTCGATCCTATAAAAAATAATTAAAAATTAAAAATTTTGTACAGCCGACTTCAATATAAGTTATTAAGAATAACTCAAAAACTATTGGTGTGACCTTGATCAAATTCATATGGGACCACACGAGAAGTATCAGCTTTCATATAAAAAAAGAATCATCGAAATCGGTTCACCCAGTAAAAAGTTATGAGGTAACACACATAAAAAAAACATACGCGTCGAATTGAGTACCGTCTCCTTTTTGGAAGTCGGCAGAAAATATAAAAAAGGATTATTATTAACCGGGCATCATAATGACTTAGTTAATTCATAAAGAAAAAATCAGCTAGTAAATGTGATACGAGTTCTTATGAGTTAGTCTCGGTTACAATTAAAGAATTACAAAAGTATTTTTTCAAGTGTTAAAAAATAAAATATAAAAAATACCTTTATACCCATTGACATGTTAAAAGGGGATGTTTATACCCGAATTATGGATATAACATATCCGTTTTATATTTTTATTAATCCTTTGTCTAACAGCCAGCTTTAAAAGTTAAATTACGATAATATAGAAAAAAATCCCAGATATAAATAATAAGGAATAATGTTATTAAAGTTAATAAATGAGGAAGTGCTTACGATATTACATAATAATTAAACATATTTTTAATAACTTTAATATCATTGTTCCTTATAATTTAAATCTGAAATAATCATTTATCGTATTGTACCTAACTTTTTAAGCTGACTGTATAGCAAAGGCTTTCGTTAATTAAAATACATTTATATTCATATTAATAAATTTTAATTTTTACCGCTTCAACAAATACGTGTGTATGTATTCATTAGGTGTTCATAATTTTAAACATTATATCCTTTTCTTACCTAACTTAGAAATAACTATTCGTCGACTCAGATACGTTAGGTATAAAATAGATATGGTAAACAAGAACGGTCAAAAGTTTTGCGACCAAATAATAAATAAGCATATTATGTGTCGTGATTAAGGTTGCCAGATGGTCGGGATTCGTCTGGATTCTCCCGACATTTTAAATGATCTCCCGACTCCCGATAAAACTCAAAATCTCCAGACAAACAGCTCCTCGAATTGTTAATAATTTAAAATTGAAATACAACCAAAACAAAATTATGAAATTTAAAAAAATTATATCATTTATGTTGTCAATTCTTGTAAGCAATGCTTATTGTGAAAGGGTATTAAGTTTACTAAATAGTTTATATACTAAAGAGAGAAATCGTATGGCTATTGATTTAATAAAAACTGGGTTACTAATTAGAATGAACTTTGAGGAAAATTGTTTAAATTTTAAATCTTTTCTGAACACCACTAAAGTATCCAAATTGGTGGATTCAGTAAAGGCCAATGCCAAATACCTGTGGCAACCTCAAAATTAAGTGTAGTTACATTAATTATCTGTCAACAATGTCAAGTATATTTGTAGCCCATTAATTTAAAAAATAATATTTTTGTTTTACATTTTTATTTTTAACATTTATTTCTCCCGACAACAACCCCAAAATCCCGACATTTTCAAATTTTGTCCAGATATTTTGGTCTTCCGATCTGGCAACCCTAGTCGTGATCGGCATGACAGACTCCAAATATATTATACAACATATAACAAAAACCCTGTGGTTCCCGTTAAGTACGTTATCAGGATCAGTATTCAAACGTATAGAAATAACTTTTTTTTTTAAAAACACGACTATTTTTTTTTTAAATTTTATGTGGTTTTATTACCTCTTACTGACACTAGCCGATGTTAAAGCTAAGTAAAGCGGGGTCTTTGACAATCCTCTTACTCCCAGGTAATAAAACCACATACAATTCGCATACATTTATTTTTTTTAAATAAAAAAAATATTGATATAAATATAATAATGATCCTGATAACGTACTTAACGGAAACACAGGGTTTTTGTTACATATTGTATATATTTGGAGTCTATCATGCCGATATATATAATATGTTCAATCCGGTATTTGGTCTTAATAATAATTTACTAGGCAAAGAATGACCTACATAATACGCATCTTATTCGTAATGAACACATTGTCAATCGTTAATTGAATTGAACTATTATATAAGAACTGAACCTGCTGGTTTAAGTGCTTTAACCAAGCTTTAACACCACAACATATGCGGCCTTAAAAATATAGTGAGTTGTATCAAATAAGCGTATTAAACATAAACGGAAGGTAAAACGTAGGCCGAGCCAGTATCACCGGTTTATTCACGAAATGTTGCAACATTAATCCCTTGTTTAGGTACAGTGTGGGTAGAAACGATATAGTATTGCTCAATGCTATATGCGGTCGCTTGGCCTTTTTCTTGTGACAACAGCGCTGCATTTGTCGTGTATATCGTGTTAATATCGGTAAATATTAGTAAATACTTTTATCAGTTTAAAGTAGCATGTAGGATAAAGTATAATTTAAAATAAAAAACCCGATTATATTCATCGTTTTGGTTTTTGCCAGCGTCGTTTTATGCAAAGACACTGGTAATAAAGAAGAATCAGCTATAAAGAGAAGTTTAATCAGAAGAGATGTATTATATGACCTTGTTCACTTTAGCATGATATTTTATGTAAACAAAAATATCAGATAATTCTATTGTTATAGACTGTCTGTAAACCGTATGTATGGCGGCGGTGTGAGATATCCCTACCCTATACTGTTCCGTAGGTATCGTAAGAGGCGACAGATGGAAACAAACCAGGAGATTAGCAACTATGTATTAAACTATGACAAACATTTCAACTTATTTCTGTGGCAACCCTAGTGACAAGTTCGAATAGCAGGTGCTCACAAATAATTATATAAGTATTTAAAGATTGTAAATTGTTTTTATCCGCCTCATGATTATCAATTGCAGGCAGCTTGTAGTATGTTTTAAAGAAACTACCATAATACCTACCTTCAAATTAGCAGGGCTCTTTTTTTCTTTAAGTGTTAATAAAAAGTAGGAATTGATTAACGGCCTTCATATTATGTTCCACTACTGGTACGTAGTAGGTACTATTATTTATTCTGTGCTACTGGGCACATGACTTCTCTCATTTCTGAAATAGTGTTGGACCTTGAAAGTGTCCGCCTTATCTATATTTATTTTGAAATTAGCTGTTCCCCGCGACTTCGCTCGCGTTTTATTTGAGGTTTTAAGTTATTTGCGCGGTACCCTAATTCTTTTTCTAAAATAAAAGTAGCCTAAATTACACCTTGTGACATCGGCTATCTGCCAGTGAAAATCCCGTCAAAATCGGTCTAGCCGTTTCGGAAATCAGCCGGAACAAACAAACAGACACACGGACAGACAGACAAAAATTGTATTAGTACCGTATATACTTTCATTTGCATTTAATAAAAAGCGGTAATTTTGACATTACAAACGGACACTTCAATTTTATTTATTTGTATAGATATTTTTATTTCTTCGACATGCAGGCCCGATGTTTTCCTGCACCGCCGGGCACGTGGTAAATCAGTGTGAAAACATCGTGAAAAATCCTGCCTGTCTGAATAGTTAAAATGTTTCGAGGACGTTTAAAGTCCGCAAACCATATTATAAACGAGAGGAGGCACAGACCCGACAGTGGGACATATATAAGCAGTTACTTAGTGTATGTGCGTTGTACCATATCAATATATTATTATGCTCTGTATGTTTTTTTTTATTATTTCAACTGGCATAAAAAACGCTATGTAAGTAGGAGAAAGTAGTTTTACCTACATAAACAAGATAAGATGAATAACTAAGCGAGGCATTTACATACGTAGGTACGTACTTTTTATACGCGAGTTTTGTTTAGGATAATGAGTGCATACACAAAACAATGTACTGGAGCGTTTGTCACTATAGTAACGTATCGTGTGACAAAAGATAATGCGGATTGCGGATAAACAATAACAACGGCGGGCTTGTGTTTCATGAGCTCATCACCCAGTTATGAACAAGAGAGTCAAACAAAATGCACTCGGGATATGTTTGCGATATTGTGCTGTTGCGAGCTATTTGTTGACCGGTTTTTTAAAAATAAACTATTTATTGTGGTACGTGTTGTTGCAACAAGGAAGTTCATTGTTTATTTTCTTGTGGAAATAGTTTATTGTTCTGCAGGCGTGTTATTGCTCAATTAAATGATAAACGGCTAATCCTGCTGTAGAAGGTTTGATTTGTTGTAAGAGCTCATATCATATTTAATGATTCACAATCATATTTAATTATTTGTAATTGCAATGATTAGATATTAAATGTTAATTAATATTATTAATTGATTTCATTTATTATTACATCTTGCAAAATTACATTCTATTTAAATGAAATTTCGGTGAACGTATTTTTTGTCACTACATCTATCAATTGCTGTCCGTCTCACACGAATTTTTTGCGTGTATTTGAGTGGGTCCCGGGATGGTTTAAAAACTCAGGTGGCGCTATTGTCGAGATCGAGAAATCACCCGTGCAAAACCGGAGCGGGTCGCTATTTATTAATAAAAATATGACAATTAAAATCTGCCTTAAGAAGTAAAAATTTAAGCTGACGATAAACGTAGTGATTACATTCTCTATGACTGAAGACATCTTTATTAGCGAATGTATCAAAATCGCCTCACGAAACAGAAGTTTCCTAATTTTTTAATTTTGTTACTTAATAGGTCCTTATTGGTTGACAAATAGGCAATAATAGTACATAATATCTCAATGACAATCTGTATATTTATAGAAATAAGAGTGACAAATGAGCACACGCTACATCTGATGGTAAGTGGATCTTGTGGAATAAAAATACACAAAGATGTTAAAACAATAACACAAAGCTACAGCTTTGAAGTGTATTGTAAACCCAAACAGATTAGCTCTCACAAGCAGCACCTGTTCACAAATATTAAACATGTAGCAGCCTTTGCCCTCCTTCGTTCGTTGAATTTGTTTGTGGTAATTGGTCAAGTTTGATTCCAGACGCGGTCGGAGTCGATGGCATCAGTGTACTCCGGCGCGGGCGAGGGCGCGCGCGGCAGCGTGGCGGTGCGCGGCGAGGTGCAGTTCTCGCTGCTGTACAACTACCGGCTGGGCGCGCTCGAGGTCGGTGTCAAGCGCTGCCGCGACCTCGCGCCCGTAGACACCAAGCGCAACCGCTCCGATCCTTACGTCAAGGTACGGTACGCCCAACTTCGTTATTTAGTACCGAGTTGCTTCGGTACCACGTGCCGATCGACACCAAAGGCAACCTCTCCGATCCTTACGTCAAGCTGAGCTTCGTGATTTATAGGCGCGTTGCGTAGTGCTACACGTCGCATTTTTATTTCACACGATGTCGATGTTTATCAAATGACATTTGGACAGATGCAATTCTTGGCTAATTCAACAAGCAGCTTCTGGAACCAAATAGAATAGAATAATTTTTATTCCATATAGATCACATATAATTTTTATTGAAAGTCATTTTTTACTTTACCAGTGGTTCGGAAAAAAACCCTCTGACCTGGGAAGAACCAGCAAGAAACCCAGCGGGACTTTTTTAAAGTAAATTTTAGAATATGATAGGTTGTACAAACTATTTACAAAATTTATTTTAGAAACAGCTTGGAAGCGACCACCTCAACCTCAACCAAATGATAAACGACCTCGCAATTCATCTGATGGTAAGCGGCCGCGACAGATCATGGATTGCTCATAGATGTGAGGCATTCCTTTCTTCTATAAAAACTTCTAGCTCAAAAACTGAAACACTAATATTGGATGTACGGTTCTCATTATTAGTATTTTCGTAGTATATTCAAAATGCTCATGCTCTGCACTGGACTTTTACGAACCGACAAAGGTATAGAATATATACCTTACTGCATTAAAGCAATATGGTATATATATATTTATTTATGCTACAATTTATTCTGTGGTCATCACAAACGTGTTAGAAATACCAGAAAAAAAATTAAAGTCAACGTCGCCACAAATTTCGAAAAACATTTACATTGATTACTTGATACATTTATAAACAGGGTTATTTTTCAAAGAGTAGCAACCCCCTCCACGGGTGAGGGAATTAGATTAGTAAATATAAACACTAACACACACACAGACACTACTCTAGTACAGAACACTAGGGCACACCGCAATCGCCGGCGAATGCGACGTCACAGACACACTCCGTACACGAGGTTTAACACCCGTGATACGGGGCGTTTCTAACTTTTGCGACTCGTTAATAAAATTGCGATAGCGATTCAAGCCGAGGTTCGTACCTCCATCTGAGGGGCCCTTGAATCGCATCGAGCCCCCCCCTAGCTCGAGGAGCCTCACTCCGAAAGCAGGGGTCGGGGTGCCTCGGGACTGCTGTCGGCGAAGCGGCGCTTCGCGCCGCCTCGCCGACGGCAGAATCGTTGCACTCAATAGTTCGTAAGTACTCACTTACGAACCTAATTAGACGAAGCTGTCAAGGCCGCAGGGCCAACAGCACACTCATTCAGAAAAAAAAAAAAAAAAAAAAAAAAAGAGTAGCAAAATTTTAAACTGAAGTTCAAATATATAAATAATGATAGACCGTTATTGCAGTTTTTGAAAATATAAATAAATAAGGTTTCTACTTTTATTTGAAATTATCTCAAATTGAATGTGATTTATGGGCAACAACTAAACATACGCGTGCTCCACAGAATAAATAACTACCGATCAACCCTTACGTATGTGTGCGGGCACGGTAAAATCAGCTAAAATAATGCATTGCCACGCATTTTGAATTTAATAGATAAAAAAGTCAGAATGTTTTTTTAATTAATTTTTCTTCACCATTTGCCTATTTTACTTGTAACGAACCTTCTCTGCAAATTTAGCCCGTTATTGCAAAATAACCCTGTACAATTATAATAGAGACAGTTTCTACTTTGTATGCCGCCAACAAATGGCATACCAGTAACTCTATATTTTTCTTCCAGGTGTACTTGTTACCAGATAAGTCCAAAGCCGGCAAACGCAAGACGAAGGTGAAGAAGAACACGCTAAACCCGGTGTTCGAGGAGACGTTGAGCTTCGCGCAGCCGCTGGCCTCGCTGTCCGCGCGGACACTGTGGCTGAGCGTGTGGCACGCGGACATGTTCGGCCGCAACGACTTCCTCGGCGAGGTGACGCTGCCACTGGCCGACGTCGTGTTCGACGACCCCGCGCCCATGTGGCATAAGTTGCACGAACGGGTCAGTCATTTGTCATCTAAAACAATAATATTATCTATGCTCAATGCATTAGGGCAACACTGGTGACAACGAGGAAACAGAAAGGTCATATTCAGGGGAAGTTGAAAGCGAGGAGATAGAGGAGGAGGGCATTAAAGAGAAGAAAGGAAAAATAAATTTCAAGTGAATCTTGACTTTTATTAAATTAAAATTAAACGGCAAGGTTCTTTCAGTTTCTTATTTAAAGTTCCATTAAATAGTGAAGCTGTAACCAGGTGAATAAATAAATAAGTACACCTACTAACTAAAACTCGATATTTACCGCCTAGACTAAATATGTGTTTTTCAGATTTCATTGATTCTCTGTTTAACTATACTATGTTTTTATTATAGCTAAATTTGGAGATTGTTGCATAATAGGTTCGATACTTGAAAGTCTAAATTTCAACATATTTGCACCTCTTAAAGTCCATAGAGTTCGACTCTACAGTTTCAATAGATCATAATATTATGTATTTGTGTTTACACATTAGTGACTCTTGAGCTTTTTAACGAAGAACCGCATAATGTAATTAATACATTTCTTTATGTAATGTCTGTAAATACGAATAGCTTTAATTAAGATTGATTCTTTAGTGGTTTTGTTAATCAAATTTAAAATGGAACAATTGTTAATTGACCGAGTCCGCCTAATGCATTAAAGTGAAAGTAGCCTATTGGCATAAGGTAGGCGCATTAATTAAAAAGTCATACTAAAGAATTCATTCTAATGTCTACACTACAATTTGTATTTATTATATGCAAATAAAATACCATTTGCAATAATCTAAAACGCTGTTGCCCTCTGTAGTCTCAGGGTATTTTATATCTAACTTACACGAAATGGTTATACCGCCATCCATTAGAAGTCATAAGACTCATCCAGCAATTATTATAGTTCACTCTTACGATACCCACTGGTCGAAATGGGGGTGAATGGGGAGATTCTATTACACCTGCACCACACCAATTTATTAAAATGTAAATTTTGAATTTTGCACACAATGTAATCGTTTACAAATAATTGCAGACTGAACAGTTTGAGGAACAGCAAGGTACACGTGGGGACCTGATCGTAGGTCTGAAGTTCGAGCTACAAGATAGCGGCAAGGGCACACTTCACGTTCTCGTAAAGGAGGCCAAAAACCTGCTCGCTACCAAGCCAAACGGACTCGCTGATGTCTTCTGCAAGAGGTACTATCAATATTTATTCATTATTTTTCTTGCTCTCATTAACACATCAACACTACTGTAACCAAAGCTTCTTTCGGTAGTCACCAAAATATGGCATATATTTTTTACCCGACTGTCCTAGAAGGAGGGTTTTTTTTATAGAATTGGGGTGACAAACGAGCACACAGTCCACCTGATGGTAAGTAGTTGCCGTGGCCCATAAACATCTACATCTATCTTCGTTTGCGAATTAAAATGCAGATACGTAGTCAGCCGTGAGGAGTAAGATCCTCTTTTCCAGTAAAATAGGCCAATAGGAGGGTAGTGGTTTTCGAGAGTATGTATGTATGTATGTCTATTTCTTTGCCACGCTCTTTAGTCTAGACGGCTTGATGAATTGTAGCATGGGAGGAGTCGTTAGATCCGTCTTAATTGTGGGAATGACATAGACTACAAAATATTCTTAAACTGTAAACATTTTTACGCAGTCGGGTTTATTAAATTACTGTTTCAACGATAGGGCTTGTATACAAAACAGGCTTGTGGTTCACTTTCACTATCACTATCACCAGAGCACATCACATGTTCACTGCAGGCCTCCCTCATAGGTCCCACAAAGTACGGTCTTGAGCCATCTGCATACATCGACTACTTGCGAGTTTCATCAGGTCGTCACTACGTCTAGTGATTTGTAGTTAGTAGTAATGATTGCCAGTACGGGGCTGCTACTCGAGAACGTTTTCAATTTGTTCTATACAAATCTTGTGTGAATACAAGTCTTGAAGAATAATATGCATAGATTAATAATAAACTCCTTTCTCACTTACCTCCACAGTTAAAGAAAACAATAATGCTACTCTTTTTACCATTTTCTGCCGACTTCCAAAAAGGAGACGGTACTCAATTCGACTGTATGTTTTTTTTAATGTGTGTTACCTCATAACTTTTTACTGGTTGAACCGATTTCGATGATTCTTTTTTTTTTATTTGAAAGCTGATACTTCTCGTGTGGTCCCATATGAATTTGATCAAGGTCAGACCAATAGTTTTTGAGTTACTCTTAATAACTTATATTGGAGTCGGCTGTATAAAATTTTTAATTATTACATAAAAAAGAACAAATTTGATAATAAAGTGACATTAAAATATTTATCTTCAATTTGTACTCAGTAACTTTTTAGCTTTATTGTAAATAATAACTATGTTTAACTATAAAGCGAAATGATCAATACATTACCTTACTTTTTTCCCCAGTTACCTTCTGCCAGAAAGAGGTCGTCTTGCCAAACAGAAAACGAATGTAGTACGGAGAACACTAAACCCACGCTGGGAACACACGTTTACCTACCGGGGGCTGACCATGCAAGAGCTGGCCACCAGAGCCCTGGAACTAAGCCTTTGGGACAGGGACAGACTTGCCTCGAACGACTTCATGGGAGCTGTTAGATTGTCGCTTGGAACTGGTAAGATATTGATTTTTATCATTCAATATTAATTTAAAACACAATATAATATATTCAGTGTCAAAAAAACGAAATAGTTACTTAGTCAGGGATCTGAAGCGTAGTAGGTAAGCGTTTGGCTCCATCACTTCGGGCTACAAGTTCAATTCTCGCCTGTAACAACTATTTGAATAGCCGACGAGTAGTTACTCGAAAGTGGAAGTTTCCAAGATTTAGTCAATGGGGAATTAATGTACCTACGTAAAATGTTTTCACAATACAGGATACATTTTTAATCTGTGATTAACGTTTTTAAATATGATTATTTACTAAAAACTGCGCCCCCGTAGCGCAGTGGCTGTGTTTTGTCACAGCGTTATGGGCCGCCGATCGAATCCCGCTCAGAACATGTTGCTATGGACTACAAATAACTATTTCCGGGTCTGAATGTTTGTTTTTGAAATCACCTCCACGATACAAGAGAATATGTGGGCGGTTTTTAAAAAAAAGAATACTTACAATTACAAAAAAAAAACACCAATGAAAGTGAAAAATGGCACTAACTGAAATGTAAAATTATTACAATTTCATTTCAGTTAGTGCCATTTTTCAACTTACAATTCCAAAAAATTGGAAAAAGGCTTCGTACACACATCTGATAAATTAAAAATGATTTGAAGACACATAAAATACGCTAACTCGCATAAAACCCTTCCAGAAACAAAAAAGGTATCTCTGTCCAGCATTAGAACACTTGCAGACTTCATTGATTTTATATAAAAAAAAATATTTAATTTCAGGTACATATATGGGTGCCAGTGTCAATTGGATGGACAGTATGGGCAAAGAAGTAGCCTTATGGAAGACTATGATGCAACGACCAAACTTCTGGGTGGAAGGCTCTCTGCCGTTAAGGCCTCAGCTAAACAACTAAGAAATCACACATTGTACCTTCAACTTTGATACTCAGATTATTAACACTCCATTATAATTAATACTTTTATAAAAAGTAGGTTATATAGTATACATAAAATTACATTATTTCGAATTTGTTATCATTTCCTTTCTAAATAAAAATTACATCCACCAAAAGATGACTTCAACCAAAACAAAAAGTGCATTTTATTTGCCCATTATGCGATACTTAAATTATACAGATTATTAAAATCCAATACAAAATTGCCAAATAAGTTAATGTCGTTAAAATATTGTGGAAATATGAATTAGGTAAGCCTCGGGGGGCATATCTTTATTTTTGTATCATGTAAACATATAATATAAACGATCTATTCACTCTAGTGTACTATTCAATGCCATCCACTTCTCATTCCTCTTATGTGATGAAAAAGGTTAAATATAAAATTAGCATTAAATGTGTGACAATAATCTGTTTAAATTTTAATCGTTACTGCCTATAAGTTTAAGTGCTTAGAAGTAACTACGTAAGTTAACGCATTTAAAGTAGAATATTAATGTACAAATTAAGTTCACATGAGTGTAAGTTTCTGCTCATGCATATTGTGATTTTCATAAGATACATCGTTACTTTCTAATTACCTATGATAAAAGAGGTATGTTTGTATTTTGTATAATGTTTTGTAAGATGTTTGTGTATACTGAATTTACGATATTTATAAAGTTATTTCTTTAATAAGAGAAACGTCCATAGTTTGTAATATCAAAATATTGAGAATTTACTTAACATTACTTAACTTAGGTATAGCGTTATTTTATAGTAATTTTTATATACTTATAAATATAATTATGAAGAAAAATAGGAGGAGTTTGAAAATAAAATATTAAAAAACACATTTTATGTAGTTTTATCTTTTTTTTTCAGCCCCTCTTAATTCACTACTTCATAATATTTAATAATAACGTCTTCCAGACCGAATTTAGGTCATGCCAGAAATTCTCAACGGAGACTAGCCATTTGCGCCTGGCAGGGATTCTAGTGTTCAAGTGTATGCGCAAGCACAGCTGCACTCTATTTCTCACTCTCATAGTGCGATTGCACAGCAAACCAACACGACCAGAGAGAGATGAGACGCACAACCTACGGCTTTACGTGATTTCCGTAGACCCGGGTTGAAACACCGCCAAAGTCGGGCTGCTACTGAGAATTTCTTTACAGAAAAACTCAATAACTGATTATTTTTGGTCCGACCCGGGATTCGAACCGAAAACCACATGATCAGCAGTTGCGTTTACGACCACTAGACCAACAAGACAGTCATATTAACACAAATATTATTTAATACGCTTGGCACGACCCCTATGATTGTCAATTTCTACCACGTTTGGCAAGCGGGTTAACAAGCAGGGAGCCCCATAGGTACCCTCTTACTGATAATGTTGCAATTGCTACCACATTGAGCCTGGAGTTATTTGTAGGTACATTTCGTTTTTTATGTATTGCTACGTTATAGTGACTACAAGCAACGACTGCAGCATAAGGTCGGCTCCACCGGGAAAAAACGACCACTTCTTTTAGGTTTTCTTTTGTGACGAACATCCTCGAGAAAAATGTTCATGTTTTTGCCACAGTTGTAAGCGCTAAAGCGATGGCTTGTTGAGGTGTACTCTTTACTGAGTTTTTTTTTCTTGTAGTGTTACAAGGGAAAGCTCATATTGTTCTTCCGATGATAAATTGTTATTTTCATCAAGCAATCGAAAAGTGAGATTATGCGGTTTGCCGTTTTGGATCTAACGACATCCACGCTGGCAAAGAACCACCCGGTCGAGACGACCCATTCATGCTGCACAGAGTATTAGCAGCATAAGGATAAGTTCACATAACTGTGCGATACCGCGGAAAGTACTTAGCAGGCGGTAGGTTTAAACTAATAGATGTTATCGTCTACCTACATGACCGCGCAATACTGTGCAGTTCTCGGCATTCCGTTGACCTTGTTCTTGTTTTACAAACCGTCATGAGCACTCTAAAAGCGCGCAACCGCACGCTCATGTGAACTTAGCCTAATGCTGCTTGCTGCCATGTTTGATGAGTGACTACAACCGGAGATTATTTTACTGGTGAGAGGCATTTCATCTTAGTTTTCAGTGTGTGACAACGCATCTGCTTTTTGATTCTCAATCAAGGACAGACGAAGGTGTATGTGGCCAATCAGTATCCACTTACCGTCAGATGGACTGTATTTAAGTTTGCGACCATTCTTTAAAATAAACATTTATTTAACCAATCACTTTACCCAACTTATACCAACCTCAGTCCATTTCGTACCTTGGGAGTCTTGTTTTTTCTCCTGGGTGATTTTGATAAGTCTCTCATAGCTAAATAACATCGTTTAGGTGTTCGAACTTTACCGGTCTCCGATTTAGCGCTTACGTTGGGGATAGTCTAGAATACATTATACGAGAGACAAACGATTAGTTTTATTGTACAAATATTGTCCACGGCTGGGATTAGAACCCAGGATCCGCTCAGTATTAACAGGACACTAAGCCACGCGGTCGCTTATAAGGTAAAATAGTAAATGTAAACATAGAGACAACAGGTCTTCGCTGTAGAAAACTCGTTATAATGTTTCTCCAGAGCAAATTTCAGTCACGACGGCCAGTTTTAACGAGACTAGCCATCTGCTCAGAAAGGGATTATAGAGCACGTGTGTGTGCAAGCACAAATGCACTGTACTCTCTCACTCTTATAGTTCGATGGGACCCAGGAGTAAGTGTTCGGTCGATGGGACGGTAATCCAATTCGAACTGAAAGAGATCAGGCGCATGTACAGGCGCATTTCTCGGAGTGTAAGAATTTCCTGTTGTATTTATGTTTTCTCTCTGTTCTTGCTAGCAAGCTACACAAAAAGTCGGACGGTGGCTAAAACGGTCAAGTGCACTCGGATCTTGCGTAACGGATCAAGGATCAACCAACTATTGACCTTCTATTCACAGACCAATAACCACACTACGCTGGGTTCGGGACAGCGAGGTGGGCGTGACCCTAGATGAAGATGTTCGATTTCATACACAAACCCAATTTTCTTAAAAGAAAAGGTGGACGACTAAGATGACGGGATGGAATGGTGGAATCCCTATTGGAATGGTACCTGTCTCGACGCCTATCGTATGTGCTTATTTGGACTGTATTCTTCTTTAGCCTACTATTAGAGTTAACACTGAAGGATGTTGAAAACAAAACAGCAATTCTTCATACAAACATTTCCCCCTTGAATATGCGATACTGATGCACTATTATTTTACTATTACTGTATACTTTTTCACTTATATTCTTTCTTCTTATTTTTAGTTCCCGAAACAGTCGCTGATACCAAAGGAAATTTCAAATTGGGCGGTAGTGTTCTTCTCCTTCTCCCCTTTCCCTCATTACCCAGGCGTCATTGGAGGGGGGGGGGGGCACGGCTCCGTCGGTCATCAGCTTGTCGGTTGGTGTGTTACGTACTTCACGCTCTCTGATCCGGTGTCGGGTGGGCGAGCGTGTAGTGAGCCAGGTTGTGTAGATGGGTGTGGGGCCAGTTATCTGCGCGATCATATAACCGTCTCGCAGTACGGGCCACAAATTCATAGACGGTCTCTATCTTGAGTACGTGAATGATGTCGTTCCTGACGTAACAGCTAGCTCCCACGATCACACGTAGTGCAAGATTCTGCTGGACCTGCATCTTCCTGCACTGAGTGGCTGAGGTTAACGCGTACCAGGCTGGTGCTACGTATGTCAGCCACGAGCGGACGTAGGTTTTGTAGATACCTGTCTTGGTTCTTATTGGGAGTTTGGATGCCAGTACAGTATACAGATTCGCTCGCACGGCTCTGGCCTGCCTCACGACGTGATCGAGCTGCGTGATCATGCGCAGCGTGCGGTCTATCTGGCATCCTAGGTAAGTGATTGTGGTCTTCCAACCTACGTCCTGCCCACGCAGTTGTAGCGTAGGTGGTTTTCTTGTCAACCTGGTCATGAAGGCGGTGGTCTTCACGACATTGACCGCCATCCTTCACTTGTCCAGCCACTCTGGTGGCAGGTCCAGCAGCCGCTGCAACTTCTTTGCAGCGAGTTCTACCCGACGAGATGACGTGAATTACGCACTGTTATCTGCATATAATACCAGCACGACGTCCTCTTCCCACTCCTCCAGGTGGTCTTGAAGTGTCGTTGATGTAGACCGCGTACAGGTGCGGTGATAAGCAGCTGCCTTGTGGCACTCCCGCTCCGATTATTATCCGATTATTGATAGCGCGCCTCATCTCTGCCGGTGAAATGAAGTCGTCGCACAGTATAGGCGGCGCCGGGTTCGACAGGTATTCCTGTACGTGGTCTTGTATGCCTTTTGCATGCTCAACGTACCACTCTGCTACGCTGTTGGACTTAAATTAATCTTCTAGGTGCTGTGCCATCATCCCTGCCATCTTCTGGGCGTCATAGCACCTTTTACTCGTGTTGTCCACTAGTGGAAAGTCAGGTGCTAGTATCTTCGAGAGTTGCCGGTTGAAGAGATACAGGGAGACGGGTATCTCTAAACGCCCAATCCTCAGGGTCTTCATAAAGTTGCATCCCAGGAGTAGTTATTATTGCGGAGCCCCGAGCAAGACGTTTCGCGTGTAGATCTCTCGCGATAATTGCAGGTGTTGTTGCATTGGAAATAGTTCTTATGTCCTGGGGAGCAAACAAGGTGCTGGGAGGTCTGTAGGCAGCATAAAACTTACTTCTTTAGTTTAGACCTCCATCCTTATCGCCTTTGTCCTCGTCGACGTGAAACTCGGTTCCATCTCTATTTCTTCGTGTATGACGTCTCTTCTTACTAGGGCCGCAGTACCTCTGTATGCGACGTCTTCCGATGACACCTAATCATGTTCATACACGAAGAAGTTAGGGAGCTTCTGTTGTGCAGGGAAGCGCATCTTTGTTTCTCCCAGCGGCACAATCTGGAGGTTGTGCTGCTGGACCAGCGTTTTTAGTTTGGCAACTTTTCCTGTAATGTCGCTGGGGTTCCTATACATAACCCTAAGCTATCAGCCCTCCGTTAACAGCCAACAGTTGAGCTTTAACTCAACTGTCAGCTGTGTCTCGCCAGCAACGCAAAGTCAGGAATTTGCATTTAGATAAACCCAACATTAGGGGCTTTTTAGGTGCTAATTAGGTACCAAGTTTAAAAATTAGGTGCTCTAAAACTTTCCCAGCAACGAACTGTTGAAATTTGTGTTGCTAGCAAAACGTCTAGCTAGCAACGCAATGAAATTAATAAATATACGATAAATATTAATAGCAAGGAATTAAGTGCTAATTAGGTGCTGCAAATATAGGTAATAACAAGGTGCCCCTAATAAAACTAAAGGCGTTATTCAGAACATAGCAGATGCAAAATTAAGTTTTTCTAAAAATCAGAATAGAATCAAAATTGCTTTTAAAAAAAGCCCAAATTAGGGGCTTTTTAGGTGCTAATTAGGTAAAAACATTAAAAATTAGTTGCTCTAAAGTTTTCACCGCAACGAAGTGTTGAAATTTGCGTTGCTGGCAAAACGTATCGCTAGCAACGCAATGACGATAATAGATATACGATAAATTTTAATAGCAAGGAATTAAGTGCTAATTAAGTGTTGAAAGATTATTGGGGTCGGATGTAGATGACGGTTATATTCTGACAAATATCGGGTCCAGGACCACTATTACCTTAGGTATGAATGGCATTTTTTGTTCTTTATCAGTTATATATTTATAGATAAGATTGGTTTTAGTACAGGTCGAATCTGTACTAAAACCAAAACAGGACGCCCCGACTCCACATAGTCGTGTCTGCCCTACCCAGAGTGTCTTTGTAAAGCCGTAGGCGTGGGGGGAGAGCAGCCCCGCCCGCTGTGGCAAAACACAGACATCTATGTGAGCCGTAAAGGTTGAGGCTGGACCAATAAGCCGAAACTGCGTAGGTGAGCATGGGTGCTTGTGATTTGCTACGCAAGGGCGAAGAGGCTATACTCTCCGCAGCGCCGAAGCCGTTACAGAAGTAACTATGTCAATATTCCTGCAAGACAAATTTCAACAGTACGTTGTGTAAATTTTAGATCAGCTAAGTTTTAAACTTGGTACCTAATTAGTATCTAAAAAGCCCCATATTTTGGGTTTTCTAAAAGCAATTTTCGTTCAATTTTGATTTTCAGAAAAACTAAATTTTGCATCTGCTATGTTCTGAATAACGACGTTATTTTTATTAGGGGCGCCTTGTTATTGCCTAAACTTGCATCACCTAATTAGCACTTAATTTCTTGCTATTAATATTTATCGTATATCTAATAACTTCACTGCGTTGCTAGCGAGACGTTTTGCTAGCAACGATTTTATAATATATATTTTAATATCTTTTTCCTGTCCAACATTCTTACTAACTACACGCCTCTTCAAAAGGCTCCACATAAATTTTATGGCATCCAACTCGCAGTGGTACTAACGGTGGAAGTCTAGCCACTTTGTGTCCATGCGCCTCAAGTAATCGATCAGATTCATATATTGGAGCTTCTTTATGCTCTTTTATAATTTCGTATAATTGAGCTTTCACCATAGTAGGCACGTAAGATAAGACCTTTGGTATAACTCAATGTCGGTGTCTTATTCACCTTTACAGTATGATAGGGTGGATTATTAAACTTATAGGCGGTAAATTAGGTATAAGTTGGTCTTATAGCCACATGTCATCACGATAGTCACCCGACTTTGACTAGGATTTAAATATTAATTGTGCATTTGGTATAAAGCCCATTTCACCACCCGCATTAACAATAATCCAGCGTGCACCACCTTAATTATTCTTTAAAATGCAACTTCACTTTCTTTAGTAATAGTGTTGACGGTTTTCTCAGATACGAGGGCGGCACTGAAAATTTCGGGAATCAAGGAAGTGACACAACATTACTATTTAAAAATGTATTTAGTGCTTTTCGAAGTATTCTCCGCGAAATTTGACACATTTTTCCATACGATGGAACCAATCATTGAAGCAACCATTCTATTCGGAAGCTGGGGTCTCCAAAATGGCCGTTTTGTAGGCGTCCACAGCTTCTTCAGGTGATGAAAATCTCTGTCCACGCAATTTATTCTTTATTTTAGGGAAAGTATAGAAATCATTAGGGCTTAGGTCGGGGCTGTACGGCGGATGGTCTAATAATTCTATGTTTTCTTGCTCTAAAAACTTTTTGTTCTATGTGCGGTGTGAGAACTCGCATTGTCGTGATGGAGGATGATACGGCGGTTGCAGTTCTTTTTACGGAGTTCAGAAACGACCTGTGGCAGACAAATGCTAGCATACCATTCTGCATTAACCATTCTTTGTCCCTCAAGAAGAATAGTCGTAACGTGGCCGGTTTTGGAGACAAACGTGGCCACCATTTTTTATGCAACACTGCGTGAACGAACAATTTTTGATGGCTTTAACTCATTTTCGAACACCCAAACTCGTGACTAGTTTTTTGTTTCGGGTTCGTACGCGTATATCCAGGATTCGTCACCTGATACGATGTTGTATACAGCATTTGAGGATCGTGCGTGGAATCTTTCGAGAGTTCTGACGCACCAAGTAACGCGAGCCGCTTTTTGCTCTTCACAGAGCGAATGCGGTATCCATCGGGAAAACAACTTTTTTACACCAATTGTTGATGCAAGATTATTTGTATTTGACTCATGCAATGTCTAAAGTTGCCTGAATTTCGCGGTATGTCACATGTCGATCTTCCTTCTATCAGCTTACGCACAGCATCAACGTTTTCTTGGGTGACTGCAGTTTTTGGACGACTTTGACGGGGATCATCAATGAGCTTGACACGTTCACGTTAAAATTCAGCAAACCAGCGATAAATTGTGGTTTTGGATGGGGCTTCATCACCAAATGCAGAAATCATCCGGTCAACACACTGTTTTTGTTTTAAACCACTTCCAAAGTCATAATAAATCATCGCTCTTGAATTTTCTCGTGTCAATTCCATCTCTTTTCTCAACGACTAAACAAGTTTGATAAAACCTTGTGGCAAGACCGAGAATCTTTTTTTAAATAAATAAATGGTATTCGATTTTTAAAACCAAGGGGTTTTCAATTAAAAAGATTTTAATATGACAGGAACAGTGGAAATATTCTATTCCCGATACTTTTAGTGCAGCCCTCGTATACATGAAATATGAAATGTCACGTAAACACTTTTTATATATTCTATTTATAGGATATAATTGAAAAAAAAAAACATTGTTTTATTAATTTATTTAATTCGGTATTAAAATTATGTTGTATTAACTTTGATACAAAAAAATGACGTTACTATACTAACTATTTCCAATTGTAACGGAACGTAACGTAACAAAAATCGTAACCAAAATATATAATTTTAGTTTTCGCTAGTATGGGAAAGACACGAATAGCGGGTAATATTATTTTCAACTATTTTAATCACCTGTCATGACTGCTACCCGTTGAAGAACTTTTTCAAATAGAATTATTGGGCCTTTATTAACTTTTCCTGTTAACAAAACTTGCGCACTAATAGCAAAATTTTTCTGCCACTGCTTTGAATGCTTTTTGGCATGTTAAGAGATTAAAAATTACCGATACAACAGAAAAATCCAAAGAGCTTTTCAATACGTCTGAAGTACTTGACAAAAAGTAATGCCAACCTGGCAAGAAAATACAATCACAGATATCAGAGGTAAAATAACTGTGAACGGATTTACTATACAAAAGAATTAATATCACTTGATACTGAAAATCTATAAAAACGAAGATCCCTAATGAAATGAAGACATGGCTTAAAAGACAAGCATCCAGGGCAAAAATCTTAAAAATTTAAGAAAATCTTTATATTTTTAAGGTTTTTTGACGGGCAATCCAATATTCGTGTCAAATCAAATTGTTTGGATTTTGAATTTCCTATAAAATTTGTAAGAAACTGTTCGATAAACAAGCTTTACATTATAAATATATTATTTAAAAATAAACAACAATATCTTGAAATAACCATGACGTTGTTTACGACATCTATCTTATTTTGTTTAACATTTTTGGTTGTAACTTTAAAGTCAGGTAAGAAATGGTAAATCGATAATAACGCCCCAAATAGTGTAAAAGTATAAATTACGTTTTTGTATTTTATTCTAGTGGATTCTATAAACTGCTATCAGTGTTCTGGGACAGATTCTGAAAACCCTTTTCAATGTAACGAGTTTCTAGATAGTGATACAGACATTGTACCAATTGATTGTGCGACAATTCATGATGCTCAGTATTGTATCAAACACGTCGGTAGATATGAAGGTGAGACAGAGCTGGGTAGCTCTGATACTCTGGGACTTATACTAACAGTTTGTAGTAACTTTGCCTGGGGCTATATGTGTCTTCTAACAACATAAAAACACTAACACTAACCCTGTTTATAACATTTAACAGATAATTTTAATGTGTTAAACATTTAATTTAAAGCAATTAATATAATAACAATTAAAATTAATAAGTACCTCTATAATTAATTTGGTACAAATATTAAAACTTATCCCTGTGCTGAATGGAAATTCTGGGTGATCATTTTTATAACAGCAAAATTTATAGATTAAGAATCGAGAATGTTAAATTAGTTTTTGGGTGTCAAATTGTACTGCTGAACAATCAGAGTATATTAAAAATAATCAATGATCCATGAAAAAGATCAGACTACTGGATGTGTTGTAACACTAACATAACATGTAAACAAGTTATGGCCTATAATCAAGAAATTCAATTTCTAATATAGGTAAAGCAATTGAATGTTACCAGTGCAACTCCTCTTCTTCTATGGAATGTGGTGATGGTCTTCTAAACTTGGATGGTGGGATCTTGGCAGCAACACCTTGTGATCATGTTTTCAACGCTCAGTATTGCATTAAACAGTCAGGTTCTTACTAAAATATTTTTGTGTTAATGAGAGAATAGATTATATTTTATTTGCTTACTTTATTATCAATATATTGTATTGATACAAATAATAAGCAGGTTTGAACGGCAAAGAATACAGTAAGGCATTAAGTCTGCTCATTGTGCACTTATAGTGTTAGCTATAAAGAATAAATAAACAGTCACAGTTACAGTCAGTACAAAAGTTATTTCAAATAATGGATGAAAAAAATACATTAGCATTTCTATTTTACTTGGTTCATTAATTATTGATTACCATTTAAATAGCATTAAATATAAACTTGAATGAACAGTAGTCGTTACCTAGGCACTCACTCAGTTTAAACTTACACTTCATGCTCTAAAGCACTATAATACAAAATTATTAGTGTATTATCACTGGATCTTTCTTCTCTATCAGGGAGTAAAAATCCACTATTGAACATAGGGCTCTTCTGGTGTAGGGAGGATTAATTACATTTATATGTGGTAAAGCCATGCTGCAGCTATATTTGTAGTATAGATGTAGTACAAATGGGTCGGTTAGACCGGGGAAGGACCACAGTTTCACAGAATACCAGCATAAAATAGCAGCTTAACACTGCTGTATTTCATATGGTGAATGTAGAGAACCGGACACCCTTTTACTGGAAAAAAGGCATTCCATCTGAGTCCTCATGGGTGACAAAGCATCTGCATTTTGATTCTTTATTGTGGGTAGATGTCTACGGGTCACAGCAACCACAACATCAGGTGGACTGTGTGCTCGTTTGTCATCCTATCCTATAAATAAGTGTTTATTTTTTTATTGTATTGGGCTATTTTCTAAGGAGGTGTCTGACCCAGAAAAGCAATAGCTGCAGATGCTAAAAACCAAGTTTTAGGACTTTACCTATGAACATGCATTGCACAATGTTTGTGCTAAATTTTACCTACGACTGTTGTGTTGGGTGTTGCCATGAAGAAGCAACGTGGAGGAGCAGTTCACCAATCTATGTTGTTTGAGTGTTAGCTTCTCCACCATCATCTGCAATTTTTGACAATAATGGCCAACAGTAACTGTGGCATTAGATGGAAAAAGCTTAAGTAGATAACACCAACAGTAGCCTACCGAATAGTCACCAGAATTCTGATTTGTCTTTCATTTTGGCCACTGTTTGGCTTCGGCACCTGGATCTAACCAGTGTGATGAACACTTGCTATTGTCATATAGAATCCACTTTTTACAAGTGACAATTTAACTCAAAATCTTAGCAATTTGTATTGTGTTAACAATTACACCAAAAGTTAACGCTACCTCAGCTACAGTTTAAACATATTGGCATCCAGTATAACCTATATTCCAGGTGGTCATGAGGTTTATTTTAACAAAATTGAAGTTATGAACATCAGGCCATTTACTATATTCTTATATACATATTTGCTATATTTGTGACCATACCTAAATATGAATGTAGTGGTATTGTAAAAAAAATTAATTAAAAAATAAATAAATTGCAGTTTTGTAAAAGGAATATATTATACTTATATTCAAAGTGGCCACCAGTTCAACAAAAATGTAATATCATAGGTGAAAACCTAATGTTTAGATGCCCACCATAGATTTTGTTGTTGGTAGCCCAACATCCTGGGGTGGACACACTAGACTAGTCTGGGGTGGGCACTACTCACTTGCTCCGTACTATGTAAGCAAATGATTAGTCACTAAGTGAAACCAAAAGCACAAATGTTTAATTTAAATTTATAGTGGATTATTTAATCCACTATAAATTTAAATTAAACATTTGTGCTTATTCTTTAATTTCCTAAATCAAATTTAATAAATACATACTTAATAACTCTCTAACGCTAACTTCATGGTATAAGTTAGTTTGTTAACTTTAGCTTCATCCATTATTTGATAATCATAATATCCTAGCTAATTGCATAATGCTTATAAATCTTTGATGATATTCAACACAATAACTTCATTCAAGTTTTGACTTTCAAAATTTACAAACAAATTTCAGAACCTAAAAGCAATATAATGATAAGAATTTAATACCCATAATATTTTTAATTTTTAAAGTAATTGTAGTGTTTTCACTTTTTTAAAACTATTTAGTTTCTATACTAATATACTTCGCATTGAAGAGAAACATTGTGGGGATATGTAGACTGCCAACAAGCATTGGAGCAGCATTGTGGACTATTCTCTACACCAAAGCCCTCTAAGAAATGTGAGGAGGCTAGTTCCTGACAGTTGGATAGACATGGCTGTTATTATTTTAACATTAAAAATTTATATGCATTATGTATGAAGATTTTAATTGCTTATCTATATAGACTATATTTGCTTATATATATATATATATATATATATATATATATATATATATATATATACTTTTTACTAACCTCACCACTAACACACTAACTCTTGATTTAAAGATTTATAGCACTGGGCACTATAACTTCTTTTTAATATGGTAAGTGCTTTTTAATGAATGCATTGCTTATTTTATTAATTTGAAATATTTTTACAAATAATTAAAACTCAATTATCCTTTCAGGTGGAATAAGCACTAAAAGGTATTGTTCATCATTAGATTTAGGAAATTATTGCAACTATGTGGCGCAACCCGGAGACAAGTTAGAATATAGAACATGTATTTATACATGTAGCACAGATGGATGTAACACAGCAACCAGCTTAAAAGTTTCCATATTACTATTCACATTAATGTTATTTTCATATGCATTCTTTTCTTAACATTATTCAAATAATTTTATACTTTTATTTTTCTACCTCTGACGTTACAGCATAACTAATTACAATTATTCATTAAGACTGAATTTAATGAAATATCTATAGCTGCTGAAAATATTTCCCATTACATATCATTTTTAAGACATAATACATGTTACTGTGAGAATAATTCCGTCCGAATGAATTAAAGATCTCTTTTATATCATTTAGAAATAGTTATAGAAAAAAAATTGTAACAGCTCAAAATGTCAAATTGCTACTATGACTAAATAGTTAACTAGATGAGAAGTGTTTTAAGCATGTCTAGAAAAAAAATTTACTATTCAATATCGCAAAAAAGTTAAAATAAAATTTCTATTTTCTAAACATTATCAACTAACGGTAATATTTATAATATTCAACCCGCTATTGTTGTTGTGTGCGTTAATATATGTACTAAGAAAGTAAATTACTTTCGAGCTTTTGAGTAACAAACTTTATCATGTGTTATTATTTTTATTATGCCTGTAAATAATATTCACTACTGATATTATTTAGAATATAAATAGATATTTTGCAAGACATTGTATATTTTAAAATACATTTTTTTTTATATTCATAATACATTTTTGTCTTATTTATGTCCTCATCTATAGTGACCAACTTGAACAATATTAGACATGCAATGAAATATTGCATCTCGGCGGTATTTTAAGCGTTCAGTGGAATCAATGTATACAAAGACACCGCTGCGTTTGGAAGTAAATTCGATTGCTGGCATTCTAGAAATCGGCAATTAAAACTGATAAACGAACAAGGTCGAACACGTCATAAAGTCCACAGCATACGTTGACGCACCTTGGTTTGTTGTAATGTTTCGAGATTTCCCGCGTACAGTTCGCGACGTAACGGACTTTACATGGATACATGCGCAGTATCCTCTTAGCGCGCGCAGTAGTCTGTGATGGATACAGTTGTCGAAGTGTTATTTATCACTTCAAAGTTGGACTGACCCACAGATAACTATATACATGACGGCGACAGACCAAATGTTGAGTCGTGCTAGAAATCGAAATGAGGGCTTGCGTTGCCACTACATACGTAGTTGTCTTATAACATATTACCATTATGAAGTGTAAGGGAAATATAACCAATTTCATTTTCCTACGTGACATTGGAGCTAGAGGTATCAGACATGCCTATACCTGTGCTGTGATATTTTTATCAGAAAACCCTCTTCAAGAAATTTTGTCGTTTATTTGTGGTAAATTAGCTTTAATTTCATTCAAAATCGTAAAGAAACCAGCGTGTCCGAAAGATTAAAATAAAATACGAATCGGGGAGTGCGCAAGATTACCATTTTAATACTGCGTTAGTGATCATGTAACTTCTGAATGATTTGACCGATTGAGGTCATATTTACACAAAATATTGTGTTGTGGAGAGTTGAGGTAATAGTTCATAGTCAGATAGGTAGCACTGTTCTATAATCAATTCCATATTTACAAATAATATAGAACAAAATTGACTCGTATTCATTTGTACCAAAAAAGAAAATCAATAAATCTGGACCCGATAGGTGGCGCTGACGTCGAATTATTAAATTAAACTGTAAAAAGTACGGAGAAAATTATCGCGCCACCTACTGGAAAATGCAGACGTCTGCTAGGCCAGCTAGTTACTTATAATGTAAGGCGAAATTAAAAAAAAATCGCCATTACACATTATGATCTTTTTAACTTTTATTTTACGTGGTAGAGCCACGCTGCACCTATATTATGGTTGTATCATGAATGGGTCGGCTCGACCGAGGAAGGACCACGCTCTCACAGAATACCAGCGTAAAATAGCATAACGCTGCTGTGTTTCGTATGGTGAGTGTACAGAACCGGAGACCCTTTTTTACTGGAAACGAGGCATTCTATCTTAGTCCTCATGGGTGACAACACATTGATTCGTAATCGAGGATAGATGTAGATGTCTATGGGCCATAGCAATCACTTACCATCAGGTGGTCTGTCTGCTCGTTTGTCGCCCTAATTCTATAAAAAAAAAAACGCAATAAATACCAAAGTTTGTAAAGATATCACAGCACTTAAGATCATAGACCAAGTAATATATTGCTAAAGATGTAAATCATCTTAACATTTTCTCGTCAAGTTCTTGTAAAATTGTCTAATAAAAAGCTAGAACAATGTTCAAACATTTTAATGAAAATTTGTGCTACACAAGCATGATATAAAAATACACAATAAATATTAACATCGACTTAGCCACAAACTAAATTATTCATCCGGCTAATATGCAATAATACTTTTGTTCCATTGAACTTAACACTAGTCGTTGTTTCTATTCGGAATAATTAGAATGGAATGTTAATTAATGTATTTTTTTCGGTAAGTAATATGTAAATAAATACACAATTACAATATAATTAGTGAACACTAAATATTTCCTATGTTGAAAATGTTCCAATAACATGCAAAAAGGTAGCACTAGCACCTTAGAATTTTATGCTATGTTGTAATGCTAGCGTGAAATCTTATAAAATATATTAGCATACAAAAAGTTCAGGTAACCTTTTTGTACATTCTCTTTCACATTTAATGGTTCTGGCACTGACTTCATAAAATCATCTGTAATAGCTTTTTGACAATGTAACCCAAAACTTAAAAGTGGGCAAATACTTAAAATAAACGTCATATAATAATAGAGAACTAATACACGTTATAAAATATAAGTAATCATTATGAAACAATTCTAAAATAAATCAGACTTAAGAAGACTAAAACAATCACTAACAATGTCTACTTAAAATAATAGTGGGAATAAACATGTCAATAAACATATCATTTGTGTGGATATTAAACAGTGTCATTCAGAATATTTGGAAATCACAAGAATTATATAGCAAATTATCAAAACATAAAACCCTGACATTCATTGCACATGTACATAGCTACTACTAAAAGTACGTAATAAAAACCGATCGGATCAAATTACATTTGATTTCATGAATATAATATAGAAGGGCACTAGTATCTTTGCGACCTAACATAATGTCTAAATTAAGTTCCTGCTTTCTCATGTCCAAAGGCAGTAAATTCCATTAACACGTTTTTTTAACACATTTTGGTATAGAATCTACGAGCATGGCCTCAGAGGATAACTATCATAGACATAGAGAATGGACTGAGCGTTAGCCTTACAAAAGTGACCGTTCTCTAGAATGAGGCACAGTCTCTTTCCTGCAAGTCTGATTGGTCCACGTCCTGCAAGGCAGTGACGTGGACCAATCAGAATTCTAGAAATAGACTACTACTGGCCGCACATTCGCTTTGTATCTTTCGCACTTTTTGGTCTGTATTCACTGTCACTGTACAACTGAATACGAAACGGACAGTCCATTCTTTTTATATCTATGATAACTACGCCTATACGCCCACAAGCTCAAAGGATTTAAGTCATATCAGCAATGATGTCACCAAATATTCCAACGTTGGTCAGCCTTTACTACAAATTAAGCTTAAAATACATACACTATAATGTAAGTAGGCCATAAGATATTGTTTTTAATCACAAGAGTTTTATAATATCAAATTACCTGTGGAGACGAATAAAATATAAACTAGATTTGACATGTCATGGAAAATCATAAACCTACCAAAATCGGAGATGCTAAACAGTTCAATGTGTATATGTAAAACATTCTATGTGTGAAACGTAATTTTAGACCGGTAGAAATTTCATTTTAAAAGAAATTGCAACATATTTATTTCTTTTTATAATATTAAAAAAATATATTTGGAATGATTATTATTTGATCTCTTATACTTTATTTAATACTGCATTATGTTTTATAGTCTCGTTCTAATTTTATGTAACTAATTTTATTTTAATTTCCAGAAAATATAATTTCTACCAAAATTAATGACGACGAACATTATTTAAAAAAAAATACAATCATAGTGATAAAAAATGGAATCCTTAAAAATATGTTTTACAGATACATTTTTACATTTGATATTGTTATTGTTTTGATGAATAAGAAGTTAATATAATCACCATATTCATTACTAAGCGAAGTAATGCTAAGCTAAGGGCTTTGCAAGATTAAATATTTTAAGCTTTAACAACCTTGACCTAATATTACAGAGGACTGACGAATAATAAAAAAAATGTACAGTTATTACTGTTGCTGTTTATTATGACATACATTCATATCAACAATATATATTTGTGTATTAATTATTACACCTTTTGACTTTTTTCATACTTTAAACTTTCTTTTCTTTTAATGTCAAAACTTGGAATGTTGCTTTGTTGGAAAATATTATTTAAAAACGCCTTTTTACTTAGTACTTAACAATTTATATATGGGAATATTACGTATGTAATTCCCATAATTTTATTCGCGCTTCTTATACATTATAATAATTTTCATCAGGTTTTGTGTCACTGATGCAAGAAAAAAAAACACATCCTACATCAAAACACTAAGGCATAGGGCACACTTGCAAAAAGCATAAGCTAATAATAGCTTAAATAATTTAGGTAGATTTTCCCTAACTAAACTTTGTGTCCCGTTAAATTTCGCCAATTGAAGCCCACATTGTAATATTAACATGGCCGATAACACACAGTACTTTGTACTTTCAGCTGTAATCACTGGTAGAAGCTTATGAGTTAAAAATAAGAAATGTTTTAGAGTAGATGAGCATGATCACATTTTCATTCTGTTAGCCCTAACATTTAAAAGGTGCTTGTCCACTAAGCAGTCATAAATATAGTGGATGAAAATGTAAAATTAACACAAAGTTTTAAGATCTGCTGTTCAAGAAATCAAGTGGAGAAAGTAATGATAGCGGTTTATTTGAATTTTGACATATTGACAATTTCTGTTCCATGATGATTTTGCTTTAGTGAACAGTCACCTTTTTAGAAATATTTGTAGGTAAATAATGTTAGGTACACGCTGTTGTGACGTTCTATGTAATTCCAGGCGATCAGTTCACTGGTTCTGCAGTTTGGCCTGTAGAGCTGCCACGTGTTGCTCAAGTTCTCTTACCCGTTGCTGGCTATTTTGTAGCTGCCGTTTAACGATTCTCAATTCTTCGCCTTGGCGGTTGAAAGCGAGACGCAGCTGTCGGAATAATTTGAGTCATGTGTGTATAACACGTTAGTAACCAACCATAAATTAACTGACTTTGCAAGCATTCTAGGGATCAGTCCCCAGAGCACAAGTTTTCTATCGTATCAAATTCGTATCGCTCTAAGTAGCTTTGTATGTCAAAACATAATTTAATTGACGTTCACCAAATGACACTGCTTATATTTCCATATTTTTTATATCTATGACGATACGAAAACCTTAGTGACAAAAACCTGTGCTATGGGATGACCAAGTAGTAAAGATTTTTTTTAGCATAAGGGTGACAAACGAGCACACAGTCCACTTGATAGTAAAAGGATGCTGTGGCCCACAAATATCTGCATTAATCCTCGATTAAGAATGTTGCGTTGTTACCCTTGAGGACTTAGATGGAATGCCTTTTTTCCAGTAAAAAGGGTCTCCGGTTCTCTACACTCACCATAAGAAACACACCAGTGTTAAGCTTCTATTTTAGGCTGGTATTCTGTGAGAGCGTGGTACTTCCCCGGTCGAGCCGACCCATTCGTGCTACAACCTCAATATAGCTGCAGCTTGGCTCTATCACGTATAAAAATAAGATGCAAGAATATCCACTACTGTATATCATACCGTGGCTGTCGTCGCGACAGAGGAAAACAAACTAGGAGATAGGCAGCAGCATCTTCCGAATAACACCAACCAACCAATCTTTGCCAAGCATTGCAACTATTGGCAAATATCTCCCTTATGAGACAATCTATGGGGAGGCCTATGTTCAGCAGTGGACTAAGGTAGGCTGCGATGATGATTATGGTAAATATATTGTTATTATATTATTTCTAACTTAATTTTAATCACTGCTAATAGCTTAGCACTCCACATACAGGGCTGGATTAAGCTACGTTAGGTACTGTGAGTGTCCCTTTCCAGTCTTTCAACATCCTATACCACGTAAAAATGCATTTATTTAAAATCATGAGACCCATAGGTAGTGTATACTTGCCTTTAGGCTAATCAGACTGTCTAAAACATAGTCAACACACGAGTTTCAAGAAGAACATATCTATTTTTACGATTAGCGTTTTTTGAAATACTTTCCCTGAATAGTAGGAGAAAAATTCACGACCTGCTGGTATTATATAAAATAGTAAACGGACAGACTGCCTGCTGTGAACTACTACAATATTTCTCCCTAAATGTACCATACAATATCCCTCGTCGTCCAATAACAAAACTGTTATACACTCCTCAATCCAGGACTAACATGGGGTCATACGCCCCAGTACCGCGAGTGTGTAACACCTATAATCTCTCTGTGGTGTGTTGCTTATTGTCGATATTTTTCATGATACCTTCCCTAAATATAGGAAAAATGTAATAGATCACTATTATAAATAATTTGTGAATAATTTAATTATAATTTAATATTCATGTTCCCTACAGCTGCTGCTTAGTTATGTGCATGTTTTTTATTGTCTTGGTTGTACATTATCTTTAAGTATTATTTTTTGTTACACATTTCTTTATAAGCTATTGTAGCTCTGCCCTGTCTTAATTTTTATGGTATTTTGTAATGGTGTGTCACCTATAAGGGTGCACACATCAGTCCCTAGATTAAGCTCACGTTCAATTAAATGTAATAATGTGTGCACTGCTGGTGTCCTATAAATAAATAAATAAATATTTTTAATAGTTCATTTTTTATGTTATGGAAACAATTAATATTCTGTAACCAAATATAAACACAAACTCAAACTCAGAAGGAAGAGTAAGGATGTCCCCTTGTTTCCAGTGTTATGTTTATAGTTGTACACACAATACTTGGAAGGTTTTTAAATAATAATATTATTCTTTAGCGATCGCAATCAATATAAACTCAGTCCAAAATATAAACTCAATCCAAAACCAGAGGATCGTACATAGCTCAATGAAACAATACGCAGACAACAATCAACAAAGGAAAAAATCCACAATAGAATATAATTGGCTCAGGCGTGTGCTTTGTGAGTACTTTATGAAGGCCAATGTTCAGCAGTGGACTTGTGATGGACAGCAATTGATTATGTCAACTACATAACAATACAATACAGTACTAAAATAAACAAATATTGAGGGAAAAACAAAAGACTATTGTTAAATTGCAATTTCTTCTAGCCAATCCAGAGAAATAATTAACTAAAAGGAATAGCCGTGTAGTGGCGGTCATGAATATCCACTACCCCATATCTTCCCGTGGGTGTCGTAAAAGGCGACAAAGGGAAACAGGCAGGAGATGGGCAGCAGCATGTTCCTGATAGTAGCCGAAATTACAATAGAAATAAACTGCGGTTGCCAACCCGCTCGCCAAGCGTGGCAACTATGGCAAATACCCCCCTATGAAGAGTGTAACAAAGAGACGGCCCCCAGTCCCCGGCGGCCCCGCTATTCCTGGCTACGATGGCGACCATGATAACGGCGGGGCAGGGGGTGCTAAGAATCTCCGGTGGAGGTTCAGTTGCCACCTACGACGACACGACCTGGCAACATACAACGCACGCACCCTGAGGACTGACGAGAAGATCGTGGAGCTGGAAGAAGAGATAGACAAGTTACGCTGGCATATTATAGGATTATCCGAATTCCAAAGAGAGGGGGAGGACACGGTAATCCTCGAATCCGGCAACTTGCTCTATCACCGGGAAGGCGACCATCTGTGCCAAGGAGGTGTGCGGATTTATCGTCCACAAGTCTCTCGTTAACAACGTTGTAAAGATCGAGTGTGTCGACGAGGGTTGCGTACCTTATACTCAGAATCACCAAACGGTATTCGCTGAAGGTCATACAGGTTTACGCACCAACCTCGACACACCACGATGAGGAGGTGGAGGAAATGTATGAGGATATCTCTAGAGCCATGCATTCCTCCAAAACCCAATATACGGTGTTAATGGGAGACTTCAATGCAAAACTAGGTACAAGAGAGAACGGTGAGCTGAAAGTAGGGAAATTTGGAATAGGGCAACGGAACCCAAGGGGCCAGCAGCTGGCCGACTTCATGTAGAAAGAGGGACTCTTTATGATTAACTCTTTCTTCCAGAAGCGGCCCCACAGAAAGTGGACCTGATTGAGCCCCGACGGTTCGACAAAAAAATGAGATTGACTTCATTATGACGACCAGACGACAACTGTTCAGTGATGTCTCCGTGATCGCGAGGGTGAAAACTGGTAGCGATCACCGAATGGTTAGAGGCACACTGAACCTAAACGTTAAGTTGGAGAGGTCTCGTCTAATGAAGTCAACGCTCCGTCCCCCTCGTGCTCTGTTCCAAAGTCCTGAAACCTTTCAGCTCGAGTTACAAAACCGTTTTCAGTGCCTAGAAAACTGCAATGAAGTGGACGATATGAATGACAAGCTCGTGGAAACTGTCCATGCGGTCGGAGCTAAGTTCTGCAAGACCCACCGCAGAAGAACACAAAAACTCTCCGATCACACTCTTAATCTCATGGCTGTTAGACGGGAGATGAAGCTACATTCTTCAACAGATTTGACAGCATACAGGCAACTGAACAGACAGATCTCCAAATGCATGCGGCGGGACTTACGCAACTTCAATACAGCTTGTATTGAAGAAGCGATCGAGCGGAACCAAGGCTCCAAAGTCTTTGCCAGAGATCTGTCTGCTAGAAAGAGCCAACTGTCAAAGCTGAGGACCGAGTGTGACAGCATCGTTTCCGGGGCACCTGAGATTTTGAGTGAGATTGAGAGGTTCTATGGGCAGCTGTACACGTCATCGTTGGAGCCACACGCAAGTGTGAGTAACGATCCAAGAGCGAGTCTTATCCGACACTATTCCGAAGATATCCCAGACGTCAGTCTGAGCTAAAAGCCGAAGTGGCAGTGGGCCGGCCATATAGCTCGAAGAAGCGACAACCGATGGGGAAGAAAGGTTCTTGAGTGGCAGCCTCGTACCGGTAGGCGAAGTGTAGGGCGACCCCCCACGAGATGGAGTGACGACCTGGTAAGACATGCAGGAAGTCGATGGATGCAGGTGGCTCAGGACCGTGCTTTGTGGCATTCCTTGGGGGAGGCCTATGTTCAGCAGTGGACTTATGAAAGGCTGTAATGATGATGATGATGATGATGACAAGGAATAGAAAGATTGACAGATAGTGTGCACTATATTCTTAGTCATCAAAAAGACAACATACTTAAGGCGGTACTTTATCATCATTATTACAGCCCTTCACAAGTTCAAAGCACGGTCCTGAGCTACCTGGTCCATTGACTTCCTGCATGTCTTACCAGGAAGTCACTCCATGTAGTAGGGGGTCGCTTTACACTTCGCCTACCAGTACGAGGTTGCCACTCGAGAACCTTATTTCCCCATCGGTTGTCGGTTCTTCGAGGTATATGGCCGACCCATTGCCACTCCAACTTACTAAATACGGTACTTCAGTGACAAGAAATAAAAGAAGAAATAACCTGTTTTTTTAACGAATGTAAGAATTGAGTTTAATGTACAGAGGCAAGAAGTTCCAGTCTTACTCCAAGAACAGAGAAACATTTATCACATAATTAAAAATTATGTACAACCAACTTCAATATAAATTATTAAGAATAACTCAAAGGCTATTTGTCAGAACTTGATTAAATTTATATGGGACCACATGTGAAGCACCAGCTTTCAAGAATCATCGAATTCGGTTTACCCAGTAAAAAGTTATGAGGCAACACACATTAAAAAAAAAAGTGAATTGAGTACCGTCTCCTATTTGAAGTCTGTAGAAAATGTAGAGGAGTGCACACGATATTAGAGGGAATGATTTTAGACCATTAGGAAAACTTATGATAGGAGCTGAGCAATTTAAAACATTCTTTTAGATAGGGAGGACTTGACATATAAAATTAGACGCAGTGGAGAGAATAATTCCATTTAGCTGGTGGGAATGTAGTATGGGACATAAAATACCTCGTGTTCGGTGCTGAAGACATCGCCCTGGTTGATCTGCTTGTAGAGCGGCACTGGCTCGGCGTCGCCGCACTGCTTGCCGAACATGCGCTGAAGCTGGTGGAATTTCGTGTTCTGGTTCGCGTTCGTTTTTTGAGATTTTTCGTTTATAGCCTGCACAAAAAGTTTTCCATATAGTAACTAGCTGGTGGTGCTAAAGTTGTGAGATTGATACTGAGTACTTTTACTCGATGCTGGTGCTAGCCTTGGATAATTGCATGGAGATCAAATTAGCGTGTAGTGAACGTGTGAGTTCTTTTTATAAACTAAATTGACATACGAACTCACAGTCCACCTGATGGTAAGTGCCTCCTGCAGTCCGTGTACACCTGTAGACAACTTCAAACAAAGAAAGCTACAGACGCGTCGTCACAAATATTGACAGGCCTGTGGAAATGCTGTCGCATATATCCGCAGCCCTATCAATGCCGGCGGCCTCTTGGCAGCCCTAACTTGGGAGGGCATAAGAACCCTCATAATTTCCTATAAATTCGACAATATGGAAATTATGATTAGAGTTCCACATTCAGAGAAGCCGATTAAAACTGAAGTTAAACTGCGGGCTACGCATCTAATTTATGTTTACGCGCCACTTACGTTTTCGGCAGCTTAGTGAGGGTTTAAGTGGAAGGAGCCGAAGACTTTTTCTATTTTCTAACTTGCTACTGCTACTTGCTAACTTAGCTACTGTGACTGTAAGTTCACAGGAATAATGGACTACCTAACTTACAAGCTATCTTAACTACTACTGGGCAATCTTAACTAAATTGTTACCTTGGTTTTTATACTATGTTGAATATTCTTAAGTCACGTAAGTAAATTGAGGCGCGTCTTTAAAGACGTACTGCTATTTATATATATATATATATATATATATATTATTTACTGCTTAGCAGGCGCGGTGCTTAGTGGTAGATGTTTTCGTGATGGTATGCGCAAGGTCGGTAGGTATATGCAACTCGCCTTTAAAAATATATATTTATTTACCTGTACATCGTTGTCGTTGATATGGTTATCATTTGTCGGTTGCCATGTTCCTAACGGGCGGTAGTCCGGAGTTGTTTCCCGGGACAGGAAGGCAAACTTCTTCCTGTTATTCGCGTCTTGAGGTTGCAGCGCTGGTGCATCTTTGTTGTTCGTACGCGGCTTGTGCGTGGAGATCGTGACACCTAATGTTAAAATCATTAAATTATCTTGTTAGTCATTTGTAAAATAATTTGAATAATAAAAAGGTTATATTTATTTTGTGGTTGAATATAAAAATGTGGGTTTCGGAATATTTGCACTCGACGTTTTTCTTTAGGGAAATACTTCTGTATCAAAATGTGACATGGTATTGGTACTTGGTTAATATGTCCCTATATTTTATAAGTAGTCATAATTCTGTTATGTTTGCGCTGTTAGCTAGGTTTTTACAGAAATTGAGCAGATAAATGTGGCCTTTAGCTCGCGTAGTAGGGGGTGAAAACGGTTTTTAGTAATGATTTATATTATTATATGGCTACAATAGCTAATGTACTTTTTAAGTGTCATTCTAAACAAAGAATTCTATAAACATGATACCCATTATATTATGAGTAAAACGAATTATCGAAGAGCCGTGGTAACTCAGATAGTTAGTGCTAGCTGTAAATTCAGAGTACGCGAGCAACCCGGGTTCGATCCCGCCGGCACCAATAAAATTGTTAATTGAACACGCATTGGGGCAGCGTGGCAGACATTTCCTTGCCCTAAAACCCTCTCAGAAATGAGGGGAGGCCTGTGCCCAGCAGCGGGACGTATATCGGCTGTAACTTTAACTTTTAAAACGAATTATTAATTCATTTTAGGAACATTTAGTTCATTCTACTTATACTTATGTTCACGAAGCTTCGAGCACCTTTCAGCACGAAGCATTTATAGATTTGTTGTTTTGTGCCATATAAAATGTAAGATGTAAGTAAATTAATATGTATAAACTTACCAGTTTTCATGCTTATGAGAATAGGGGGTGCATTCATTCCACTCAGCCAATCTTTACCGGTGAGAGCAGGCAGGGGAGCTGCTGTGTCGGGATATAAATCCTCCTGGTATAAAAACATATGTCGCTTTTACAACAAAGTCCCAGAAAATATGCAGACCTCATCGAACAAAAGGTTTAAAATAAAGCAAAAATTGTCTTGTACGGGTGATTATACTACTAAAGAGTACATAACTGATAATAACCCCTGTCAATGAGGTGATCACTACCATGCTGTTTCTGAATGTTTTCACAACAATTGCATAAAATATTATATTTTTAATTGTGCTTTTTTTTTAAAAAGTCCCGCTAGGTTTCTTGCTGGTTCTTCGCAGGACAAAGGTTTTTTCCGAACCAGTGGTAAAAAGTAAAAAATGACTTTCAATAAGTATCGCTGTAATCTATATTGAATAAAAATGATTCTGATTCATATTAATAATGTGTATATTATTTTTGGATACACAATTTTGTCTTTTATGTCCTCATGGCAGTGAGGATCAATAAGTCTTTTGAAATCATAATTTTAATTTTTATATATGACTTTTAGACTTTTAAACTAAAGCAACAAAGTAATAGATACAATGTATTTTAAATAACACAACTAAAAATATGGAAAATATGTGAAAAATACCGATTTTTTTATAATATGAGTCCAAGTGATGGTAAATTGATGTTGGGGCCCATAGACATCTACATTTATCCTCGATTAAGAATCAAAATGTAAATACGTTACATATATTATATACTCCTGAGGACTAACACAAGGATTTCCGGACCGGACAAGCATTTCCGGTTCTCTACACTCACCATACAAAACAAAGCAGTATTAAGCTGAAATTTTAAGCTATTTTGTGAGAGCGTGGTCCTTCCCCGGTCGAGCCACGTTCGTGCTGCAACTATAATGTAACTGCAACTTGGTTCTGTCACGTTAGAAAAGAAAGTTACTGTAGCATCATTATCAGCTCGTAAAAGTCTGATAAACATGAGCCTCTTGTGTCGTAAGGGGATTTTAATCGCCACGTTAGGCAGACTGATTGGTGATTGCAGTATCCGTTCCCAGTCGGTATATAGCTAGAGTAAGCGGGATGGTTATATGCATAATATCTATCAAGTCATGAGGTCTTTCTGGTATTTACACGCACTTTGCCATCTTATCTGGTGAGTGGAACCGGTTCGTTGATCTAGTGGTCGTTAGACTGCTGATCACGTCCCGGGTTCGAATTTTGGATCGGGCAACAATCAGTTATTGGGTTTTCTGTCGAGAAATTCACAGTAACAGTCCATTCAGATTCAGGAAGTTGACGGTGTTTCACTCTTGTGCCTCGGAGAGCACGTAAAGTCGTTGATTCTGCGCCTGATCTCTCCGCTCGTGTCGGTTTACCGTCCCTTCAGGCTATGAGAGTGAGTGAGAGAGTGCACCTGTGCCTGCGCATACACTTGACCACTATAATCCTGTCCTGGGCGGGTGGCTGGTGTTCATCGAGATGGGCCGCCAAGACCGAAAATCGATCTGGAGGACATTATGGAAATGAGGCATTCTATCTTAGCCCGCAGTCAGGGGTGACATCGCATCTACATTTTAATTTTTAATAGAAGATAGACGTAGATGTCTATGGGCCAGAGCATCCACTTACCGTCAGGTGGACTGTGAGTCATTCTATAAGAAAATAATCTGGTGAATTTCGAAAATACAAAATACTACTTCCGAACTTCGGAAGTTTTTGACATGGGCGCAATCGGCTGACGAGGACTTCATGATCATAATGAACTTTTATTTACCTGGAAACAGTCAGATTTCCTCGGTACTATCATGGAGATCGGCTCGCAAAGTCCTCGCGATGTGTGCAGCTTATAGAAGCGGAACACTTCGCAGATGGACGTGTTCACGCCACGTTTCGGCATGTAACCCAGACCTCGCTGTTTAAGTAAAAAAATATGTCTTCACTAATTTTCTGTTTGGCAATATTGGCCGTTTAAGAGACAAAACATTTATAGGCACAGCACAAAGAGATAAAATTAATTTTACGAATTTTATCGCGTTTAATTTGACCTACTTTACTTAATATTCCCAACATTTCGGATGTTTTACAGCACTCATGGTCTTCAGTGTCCTCCGTGATCAAGTTTTTGACGCCCTGTCATAGTTAACCCGGGTTACTTTCAGTTTACAGTATCTTGGAGTCATTCTTATAATTTTTAATAAATTTTTCAACTTCTAAAAAGAAATATCTATATAATATAAAATATAGGATAGATCACTCCTTTCCGTTTCGATGTAATCATCGAAACAGACAGACAAAAAATTTAAAAATGGTTATTGATGTCTACTCTAATGGCACGCAACCCCCTGAGCTCAATAAAAGGCAGCTATTTTGATATTACAGACAGACATTTCAATTTTATTTATATGTATATATAATCGGTAGCGAAGCTTCCATACAAGGCGAGAAGACTGGCTTGCCCTATTAATAATATCAACTAATAAAATAACTCGTAAACTGTTTCAAAGCGCTCCTCTGTTCTACACAGGTCATGACCTCGTAGCCTTATTATGTAACGTCAACACTTGGCAGATTGCTTTCAATTTGAAATACACTGATTCATGTTCTCTCTGTCTCAAAGCGAACACGCAGTTGAGCGATTATTCATCTCTCTCGTATGCGTGGGCTTTTTACCGGGCTTTCGAGAAGACGATCGCTCCCTTTCTAACCTGTGGCAAAATGTTTTATAATGAAATATAACTACGTTTGTTTATATAGCAATCAGTATGGAGATCAGAAGCCAGGCTTTCAGTGTGAAGTTGTCGAGCGTGGGGGCGTGCTGGCGATACATTTGCAAAGTTCACTTCACAACTTCACATTCCAATGTTTACTCTGTGTTTACTTGAGCGAATGAAACTCGCAATATTGAGTTGGAAATTTATACTTTTTTATAGATTTTTAGTGAAAATGGAGGATAATAGTGTTTCTTATGATGAATTGAAAAGTGTTAAAGTGCTAATCGGCGAGGAAAACGAAAATTTTTATAAAACTGCTAAAAACAACAAAAACATATCTTGGGCTTGCTCTAGTTTGGAGCCTTCGCCACTGTATATAACATATCGTATTTAAGAGCTCTAAAGCAATAGACAAGTTGACACAAAGAATTCTTAGATCAATAAACTATTAATGTTGCAAGTTACATAAACATTGTATGATTTACGATTACTTTACCTGTGGGTTTCCCGACAGGTACTGATTCAGGAAATGAACGTAAGGCGCCTCCTCGACCACTTCGTAGTATCTGATGTTACCGTCACCCTTGCCAGCAAGGTATACCTTCAAACAATATAACACTTTATTATATGTAGGTAATCTACAATTAAATGCGTATTTCTTTTGTCTCTTCATCTATAATTCTTATTTTAATTTAGGTATATGATAATTTTGTTTACATGAGTTAGTGCTAGGGACTTGAAGTATTCATTAACTTAATAGAAATGTTTGGAACATTTTGGCTCGTAAAAGTTGCTCATGCACTGTTGGACATGGATTTCTTTCGTTGTAGAGGAGGTCTTTCGTCATGGCAGGCAGATTGACTATCGCAGAACCAGACGTCTCGCACTTTATACGCTGTTGCCCGTCGCCAGACTGGCAACGCAGCTGTGTATTTTACGTCTCATGTAAACGAGAGAGTTACACCGCCATCTATCGCCAGCCAAAGCGTTTTCCGTTATTTCCCATAGTCGCCTTACGTTATATGATGTATATGTAAATATGTAAGAACACAGTTCATTGTTTAATCTAAACATTATCAAGTCATTGGAAAAATTATACATTCAACATTGAAAATGTCTGAAATGAATATTTTAGATGAAAAATTAAATAAAATACAAACAGAGACGGGCATCATAACCTGATAACAACTTAAAATAATAAAAAATAATAGGGTTGATTGACCGCTTGCCAAGTAAGACAATAGGCAATGTATAGGAATACTAATATTATTAATATTACTAATGTAGAGGAATACCTAATTCAAATTCAAATTGTTTATTGCATGTCACATTTGGTAGGTATACATGTAACGTATAGCAACACTAGATGACTAACTATTTTTGTATTATCTAACTTTTAAACATAAATTATAAAATAGCATATCATCAACATTCAATATTATTCTATATAAATTACTTAAATTAGAAATACAATGTAGTCGAAGTAATCTTTCTTTGTCATTATTTATCGTCAAAAAATTTTTCAACGTATAATAACATTCACTAATAAGGAATGTTTTTAATTGTTTATTAAATTGCGTAGGGTTTTCTAGGATTTTTATAGAATTCGGTAAATGGTTATAAATCTTTATTGACATAACGTGGGGGCTAGTCGAAACTAATTTTAATTTGGAGGGTATCCTAAGTTTATATAAATTTCTATTATTTCTTTTAATTCTTGTAATAGGTGAGTAGAATTTTGAGTGTTTCGTGCCGAATTTACAAGACTCAAGGATGTAGGTAGACGTAAGTGTTAGTATTTTATGTACCTAAGTTCAGCAGTGGACTTTTGACTGAAGTGGTAATATTATTTTGAATATTTATTTTAATAAAATCACAATAATCTTACTATACCTTGACCGTAAGATTAGTGTTACGCTTTGGATTTTTGGTTTTATTTACGTAGACAGTCCGGTTTAAATAACACAACTACTGGAAGATAGACAATGGAACCTCAGAGTGAGACGAGTCACGCCAGTCATACCTATTTAAAAACTAGGAAGGGAATTAAAGACTCACCATGTTAGTATCATAATCATAGTAAGGAAAGACGACGCCAGAGGAGCTGTCGATGGTTTCACAAACCAATGGCTTGGACAAATCGTGTTGGTCCCATACAGCATACTGCCTATCGCTGTACCGGGAGAAGCCGGTTGTCAGCACTTTGCCCTGGCCGCCCAGGAATGTGCATTTAGACGCTTTCGTACCTAGATGGCACTGTCCTTCCTGCAAGAAAAATTATGCATTTTTGTATATTTTTATTTGAGGATTTTCGATAACATTCATTGCAATTTCTCTAATAACACTCGGCATAATTTTAGTCGTATTGTACGTTTTGATATTATGTTAATGTAGGATAATATACAGAGATTACTAAATTGATCATGATCATCTCATTATATTAATACATGCAGGAATTGAAACTTCGGGTTGCAACCACTATGTAACGTAGTGTTACCGTTACAAATAACTCACAGACAACACAATGCCCCGCCTAGGCTCGATCACTCGCAGCTTCTTGTCCTTGCAGGTGGTGGCCAGCAGCGAGCCGTCGCGGTTGAAAGACATGCAGTAGATCACGTCGCTGTGGCAATCGATCACCTTCACCGCTTCCCCTTTACCCACATCCCACACTATTATCTGCAAATTCACGAAACATTAAAATAAGTTTATTCTTAATCATAATTTGTTATTAGTATTTACGTAAATATTACATTGAAAATTGAATAAAAGCAATAATATATTAATACTTTACGTGGTAGAGCCATGCTGCAGCTATATTAGTAGTATAGTTGTAGCACGAATGGGTCGGCTCGACCGGGGAAGGACCACGCTCTCACAGAATACCAGCGTAAAATAGCAGCTTAACGCTGCTGTTTCGTATGGTGAGTGTAGAGAACTGGAAACCCTTTTTACTGGAAAAATTCCATCTTAGTCCTCACGGGTGACAACGCGTCTGCATTTTGATTCGTAATTGAGGATAGATGTAGATGTCTATGGGCCACAGCAACCACTTACCATCAGGTGGACTGTGTGCTCGTTTGTCACCCTTAAGCTATAAAAAAAATATCGGTTAGCTTCTTTAGCATAAAAATAATTAGCAATTAGAAAACAACACAACGACTCATCGGTAAAGTCAGGCTTCATGCATTATGCCGAGTCGGAGATCTGTTTGGTTATCACATCTCTAATCTCTAATATTCTTATTTTTTTTCATTTTTTTTCTTTTGTTTGCTTTGATAGTTTTCCGTGCTTTAATAGTACTTTAATATAATTATTATTTATGAACATTATAATATAATTGCAGTTTTTTTAAATAACTAATACGCAAGCAGTTCAAGTCGCTACTACGGAGACGTGGAGCAGAAGTATAATGGTCTTGTTCTTCTAGACAGACGATAACGCCCTAATTGAAGAACTATAGACCGATATCCCTTCTGAGCCGCGTCTACGTGCTATTTTCGAGAATCGTTACGAATCGTCTCATGCAGAATTGACTACTACCAGCTTACCTAACAAGCCGGTTTCCGAAAAGGTTTTAGTACCATATAGACCATATGCACATTACACACCCATTGCCATAATGTACAGAAAACAGAAGAGTACAATCTGCTACTTTTCTTGCATATTTGTACTATGAGAAAACTTTTGGTTCTGCCGAAATTTGGGCAGTGCCACAGTTCCTTCAGCAGTGTCAAATTGACTGTCGGTAAATCAAAGTAATCTAAGGTTTATACAGTAGGTCTACGATGGCTATTCGAGTACAAAACCAAAGAGTACGGACCTTATCCAACTGCAGAGAGATAAGAGAAGGCGTGACGTTATTCGACAAGTTTTCCTTAAAGCCTAGAACAAGAGTGTACAACCAACGCATGTTGACCACTTGTTAGGGCGCGTTCCCACCGTGTCGTGACGACAGATAATCGTGTAGTTTTAAGTGTCGTGGCTTATATGTTTAAATGGAGGTGTTCACATTTAGAACGACACAATTTACTGTCGTCTACGACAGTTTTTGCAGTGACGACACTTTGTCGTGACAGTGGGAACGGCAAGCACGACAGTCGTAAAACGATAAAATCGTGGACGGCAACTTTATGTAGACGAACACGTGTTTTCCCTTCCCTCTCGCACCCGCGCGCCCCTCGCGTCTGTACTCGGTTTGCTTTGTGCGTGTTAGAACTTGTCAGACTCCTGTGCATGGTGGACGTATAACAATGGCTAATAATATAACACCGGAAGTTTTAATTCCACTTGTGGAACAAAGGGCTGTCCTTTGGGACAAAACTTTAGACATTTATAAAGACAAAGGTTTGAAATTAGCCGCGTGGAGAGAAATTTGTTGCGTTTTTGAACCTAATTTTGACAAGTTGGAGGAAAAGGAAAGAAAAGATTTCGGTAAGTTTCTGAAACTTTTTATTTATTATGATACATGTGCTGTAATGTTTTGCCAAGGTACGGAGCCTATTTCAGATACAAAATAGTCGGAAAATTGTAAGCGCACTGCGTTTCCACCACCTTCGTTTGAACGCAGCTGTGTTGCAGGCATGTTTACCAGGGGCATAACGGCTGGGGTATTCTCCAAGTATATAGTGTCTTTTTTTATTAAAAAATTATGTAATACCGTACAAGCCTTTACAACTTCAATAGCTGTTTCTGCACATACATCCAATGGTCTATGCAAGATCCTCCATTTATTGGATAAGATACCAAAAGTGCATTCAACATATCTTCTCGCGCGGCTTAGACGGTAATTAAATATATTTTTCTTATTGTCTAAATGAGTACCGCCATAAGGTCGCAATAAATTTTGTGACAATGTAAAGGCTTCGTCTTCAACAAATACATATGGTATTTCTTCTTGCATATTTTCGTGTAATGGCGTGGGTCTTGGTATATTTAAAGTACCATCATTTAGTTTCTTCCAAAAATTGGATTGTTTTAGGATAGATGAATCACACTCTTTTCCGTATGAACCAATACTAACGTAAATGAAACGGTATTCTGAATCAACAATTGCAAATAAAATAAAAGAAAAATAATCCTTATAGTTAAAAAACATAGAACCACTATTTATTGGCTTTGTAATCCTTATGTGCTTGCCGTCCAGCGCACCGAGGCAATGAAGAAAATTTGCTTTCGTTTTAAAAGCTTCAGCGATCGCTTTCCATTCTTCTTCGGTATTGGGCAACTTTAAATATTCTGCACTTAATACGCTCCAAATAACAGAACACGTTTCTTTGATTATTTTGCTGATGGTTGACATTCCCACTCTAAAATTATAATGCAGTTGTTTAAACGAACATCCCGACGCCAAATATCTGTAAATAAATACAACAGCTATTATAATACTCTTTTATTCGAGGACCAATGCCCTAACATTATAATTATATATAAACATATAATCAGTCTAATACGTAGTCCCTTACTTGTTCACGGAAACATCCGGGGATACTAGTGGAAAAACTCGATCTTAGTATAGTTTTTTAAACTCTGAAAAACGTGCAGATGTTTGCGTGAACAATAATTTGAGTACGTATTAGACTGATTATATGTTAATACATATAATGTTAAATCTATACACAAACAAATTTTAATTTTAAGTCTATTTTACTTTTACAGCTACACAGATATCTACAAAGTGGACACATATTCGAGATGCATTTATGAGATCCCTGAAAAATGAAAAAGAAAAAAAGCGATCTGGTGCAGGCGCAAAAACTACTAGGCCGTATGTTTATAAGAATCAGCTGTCTTTTTTATTAAAAGTTACTGAGCCCCGTATGACCTCTGATTCATCTAATGAGCCTAATAATTCTATCTCTGATACATTAAGTGATGCAGCACCTTCTACTCAAAAGAAAACTAAGACTGACACATTAGATGATAAAATGTCACAATTTCTAGATTATAAATTAAATAATCAAGAACACCCACATGTGAGTTGTGTCCCGCCAGCAACGCAAAGTCGGGAATTTGCATTTGGAAAAATCAAAAATTAGGGGCTTTTTAGGTGCTAATTAGGTGCCAAGTTTAAAAATTAGGTGCTCTAAAATTTTCACCGCAACGAACTGTTGAAATTTGCGTTGCTAGCAAAACGTCTCGCTAGCAACGCAATGAAGTTATTAGATATACGATAAATATTAATAGCAAGGAATTAAGTGCTAATAAGGTGCTGCAAGTATACGGAATAACAAGGCGCCCCTAATAAAAATAAAGTCGTTATTCAGAACAAAACAGACGCAAAATTCAGATTTCCTGAAAATCAAAATAGAATCAAAAATGCTTTCAGAAAAAGTCCAAATTAGGGGCTTTTTAGGTGCTAATTAAGTACCAAGTTTAAAAATTAGTTGCTCCAAAATTTTCACCGCAACGAACCATTGAAATTTGCGGTGCTGGCAAAACGTCTCGCTAGCAACGCAATGACGTTAGTAGATTTACGATTAATATTAATAGCAAGGAATTAAGTGCTAATTAAGTACTGAGCGATTATTGAGACCCGATACAGATTAAGATATTATTCTGGGAATTATGGGGTCCACGACCACCATGACCCTCCCATAATGTATAAACGGTATTTTTTGTTTTTAATCAGTGCCTAAAAATTAAGTGCTAATTAGGTGCTGAAAGATTAATGAGGTCGCATGTAGATGACGGTAATATTCTGGAAATTATCCGATTTAAAACCACCATTACCTTACTACTTATGAACGGCATTTTTTGTTTTTCAGATTTAATATAATCTATAATATTATTTAATATAATTTTCAACCAAATAAATATTACAATTCTTATTTTTAGACATGTGAAGCCTAAACTTTAGTGTACTAAATCAAAATAATATTTTCTTTCCCGTAAAATTGCTTCATAATAAATATCGCCATCTACATCTTTCTATAGTTTTAATCATTTTATCGAACCAAAATCGATGGACTCTCAAGGTAGTAAGTGTGATAGACGCTAGATGGCACAGACACAAAAACCTGATTTTTGCATTTGCTTTGCTGAATAATTTTCTTAATAACGACTTTATTTTTGTCTGGGGCGCCTTGCCATTGCCTATACATGCAGCACCTAATTAGCACTTAATTCCTTGCTATTAATATTTATCGTATATCTAATAACTTCGTTGCGTTGCTAGCGATACGTTTTGCCAGCAACGCAAATTTCAAAGGGTTGTTGTGGTGAAAATTTTGGAGCAACTAATTTTTAAACTTGGTACTTAATTAGCACCTAAAAGCCCCTAATTTGGACTTTTTCTGAAAGCATTTTTGATCCTATTTTGATTTTTAGGAAATCTGAATTTTGCGTCTGTTATGTTCTGAATAACGACTTTATTTTTATTAGGGGCGCCTTGTTATTGCGTATACTTGCAGCACCTAATTAACACTTAATTCCTTGCTATTAATATTTATCGCATATCTAATAACTTCGTTGCGTTGCTAGCGATACGTTTTGCCAGCAACGCAAATTTCAATGGGTTGTTGTGGTGAAAATTTTGGAGCAACTAATTTTTAAACTTGGTACTTAATTAGCACCTAAAAAGCCCCTAATTTGGACTTTTTCTGAAAGCATTTTTGATCCTATTTTGATTTTCAGGAGATCTGAATTTTGCGTCTGTTATGTTCTGAATAACGACTTTATTTTTATTAGGGGCGCCTTGTTATTGCGTATACTTGCAGCACCTAATTAGCACTTAATTCCTTGCTATTAATATTTATCGTATATCTAATAACTTCATTGTGTTGCTAGTGATACGTTTTGCCAGCAACGCAAATTTCAATGGGTTGTTGTGGTGAAAATTTTGGAGCAACTAATTTTTTACTTGGTACTTAATTAGCACCTAAAAGCCCCTAATTTGGACTTTTTCTGAAAGCATTTTTGATCCTATTTTGATTTTCAGGAAATCTGAATTTTGCGTCCGTTATGTTCTGAATAACGACTTTATTTTTATTAGGGGCGCCTTGTTATTGCGTATACTTGCAGCACCTAATTAACACTTAATTCCTTGCTATTAATATTTATCGTATATCTAATAACTTCGTTGCGTTGCTAGCGATACGTTTTGCCAGCAACGCAAATTTCAATGGGTTGTTGTGGTGAAAATTTTGGAGCAACTAATTTTTTACTTGGTACTTAATTAGCACCTAAAAGCCCCTAATTTGGACTTTTTCTGAAAGCATTTTTGATCCTATTTTGATTTTCAGGAAATCTGAATTTTGCGTCCGTTATGTTCTGAATAACGACTTTATTTTTATTAGGGGCGCCTTGTTATTGCGTATACTTGCAGCACCTAATTAACACTTAATTCCTTGCTATTAATATTTATCGTATATCTAATAACTTCGTTGCGTTGCTAGCGATACGTTTTGCCAGCAACGCAAATTTCAATGGGTTGTTGTGGTGAAAATTTTGGAGCAACTAATTTTTAAACTTGGTACTTAATTAGCACCTAAAAAGCCCCTAATTTGGACTTTTTCTGAAAGCATTTTTGATCCTATTTTGATTTTCAGGAAATCTGAATTTTGCGTCTGTTATGTTCTGAATAACGACTTTATTTTTATTAGGGGCGCCTTGTTATTGCGTATACTTGCAGCACCTAATTAGCACCTAATTCCTAGCTATTAATATTTATCGTATATTTAATAACTTCATTGCGTTGCTAGCGAGACGTTTTGCTAGCAACGCAAATTTCAACAGTTCGTTGCGGTGAAAATTTTAGAGCACCTAATTTTTAAACTTGGCACCTAATTAGCACCTAAAAAGCCCCTAATTTGGGATTTTTCCAAATGCAAATTCCCGACTTTGCGTTGCTAGCAATACACAACTCCACATGTGTCCTTTATTATAGGAATTTTACCATCTTTGGCATCATTCGACAATGATGACAATTTTGAATTCCAAACGGGTATTATGCAACTGATTGAAAAAATTAAAAAGAAACGCCTTCGTAATAATTTATATGATACTTATGCAAACTATGGTGACTACCAAAACCATTTATCACAACCGACAGGATATTTTACACAAGATCCAGGTGCATCAACTTCGACTAGCAATCAAGTTATGGAACCGGCTGCATCACCAAATTCAGTCTATACTAATTTGTCTGATAGCACACAAGATTCTTTTAATTTTGACAATATATAATTTAAAGATGTCTTTACTTATAAAACGTGTAACTCTAAAATAAATCTCTAAATAAATAAATGTATACATTAATAAAGAATTTTCATTTTATTTACTTACCTTAAAGTTATCACTAGTCTTTCTTCGGCACTTATACAATTTCTGAAATGTGTGTTTTCTCTTCTAAGATTGTCTGCAAGTCGTGCCAGTAGGCTATCAAAGGTGGAGACAGTTATTCTTAAATACTCATAAAACTTTCCATCATCACTTTTTAATTTTTCTATATAACTCTGACATAATCCTAATGGAATTCTTTTCATTAACATTGGATGTACCCAGTACTTTCTTTTCATTTCTTGCTTCATTTTCCTTCTTTTCAAAAAGTAATACATTATTAAAATTTCATCTTCGTCCATTGAACTCAGGAGAGTAAACGCACTAGTAATCACCAAGCGAACGCAGAGGCGACTAGATTTGTAGCTTGCTGATGATGCGAGCGATCTGAGCGATCCAATGGGAACAGCTAGATACGACAGTCGCTAAACGATAAAAAATGTTGACGACAAACAATCGTTATAATGGGAACAGGTAGAGACGACAGTCGTCGAACGATAAATTAGTCGTTACGACATAGTGGGAACGCGCCCTTAGTGATGATATATGGAAATGAGATGTGGTCTTTCACTGCTGCTGATCTACAACAGTTCAGACTTTGCTAGGACGTAATGAATGATTAATGAATTTCTCTGTAATAGAAACTCTATTCAAAATTAAAATTAAATCCAATAGGCCGAATTATACGTTGAGAAAACGAGACAAGGTATAAGAACAATATTTACGTTTGTAAATTGAAATTTACAAGATATGAAAATTTATATTCTTCGTAGGCCTAGCACGCCGGAGTGCGTGAGTTCGAATCTTGTAACGTACTATCTTTTAAGTATTCTTACCCACACGGCCCCACCGCTGGCCAAAAATAAATTATTATAAACTAATAAAATATTTTGTTTGCGGAGTTAGGCTTTTTTTAGCTTTAATCCAAAAATGTTTGATTAAAGTATATTTACAGAAAATCATTGTTATATCGATATACAATCAAGCCTATACTTTTACCTTACTACTTTTCTAAATAATTGAAATAAAAAAATATTGGTATAATATGAAAATGAAAGGGCTCTTATGATTTGGATGAAATTTTGAATAAGGTGTTTTAATTTCCAAGGTCATTTAAGTTACAGCTGTAGTGTCGCTGTAGTCCCTGAGATGATTATATTTTTTTGTTAAGCCGAGCAAAGCTGGCACTTGGCGCTGGCTGCGGACCGGCGCTAGTAGTACTTTCTAGAATTAAAATGCTAGTGAGCATTTAGTGTAACTTTGATCAACATTTTAAAATAATTTGTATATGATCAGCTTAAAAAAAACAGATTTTTAACTAATTTAAATAGTTAGGATTATTATTTAAAAACATAGAAAGTGGCGATTGATTTTTTGAAAACTAAACTTAAACTTGCTTTAACCTAAAATGTTTTATGAAACCTTATTAATTATAAAGATCCAATAATACTCTACTCTGTATGGAAATTCAAAATATAGTTTCCACCCTTTGTTTCTATAGAGGATATACAAACTTAGAACATACAGCTTAATAAGTTGTGAGCTAATAAATCGAGCTACCCTCGTTTTCATGTGTAGAGCGTTCCATGTATTTTTTTGATTGGATTATACAAATATATTGTTACTGAAGATGAACAGTTGACCCAGATATTAACTGTTATAATAACACAACAGTAGCGTGACATATTATCGGGACAGTTTTATAACGTGTCACTTTTGAGCATTTGTCTAACGCCTGGACTTGTGTTTTCTATTTTACATTTATGTCTATTTCCATGATTTAGATTAAAGTAATAGTTATTTTAGGAGCAGCTATCCCATGTTATTCACAATCAAGAAAACTAGTATATAAATATTAACCTGATCATAATACATGCCGTGTTAGTTACAAATGCAAAATGACCGACAGCGGCATCGCTTCGGTAATGCGCGGAATAATCAATTAATGCAAGTAAACGCGACACGCGATGCAATTGCTTTACCAAGAAACGTTTAATCTTGCGTGATCCCGAGCATTATCGCTGTTATCCGTTAACATCGACAAACGTAGGGTTTGAAACAGACATTGTTCTTCAGGTCATTGTTAGACACTTATGCACACTTACAAACTTTAGTTTGTCAGTCTTTCCAGCCGATAGTGACGCGTTGAAGTGCTTAGACGGTGTTGCTCCTTTTTATGCCACTGCATGGATTTCTGCTTTGACTCAGGTTCATAGTGATGAACCCAAGTTTCATACCCAGTCACTATTCGGTTCATAATTTCGTACCTGTTCTCACTACACAGGTACAAAAAACTCGTGCGAACACTACTTGACACGCTGCTGTTTCTGAAGCGGTATGAGCAGCTCCAGTCATTTGTGCGATCTGTTTTTTCTTCAGACGACCATCTTCAAGAACAAGTTTTTAAAATTTTTCGACAATGTCCGAGGAAGTTGCCTCAATCGGTCGGCCTGAGCGCTGATCGTCTTAGTGTCTGCCTTGCTTGAAAAGGCTATGCCACTTATAAATCATAGCTTTTCAAGGGCAAGGGTCACCGTAAACAGATGACATCTCTTTCATAATAACATTTGGCGGTTTTTCTTTGCTTATTGGGGAACTTAATCACGGCACGAAACTTCGCCATAGTTAGTATTCATTTACCGATTAAGTTGTTTATCCTGTGATATCTCAATGGTTAATGGACCAATCAGGCTGAAAATTGGTATTTATAGTTGCATTGAGCCACCAAGTAGGGACAGTTGAAACAAAATCCCCCCTCCCCTCTCTAACCCCTCCATTTTGAGAACATATTGACCCGCCCTCGTAGAAGTTGACCTGCGCATGCTTCAAGCTGATAACAACTGGCGTATTGGAGTGGAGTAGGCAAGAGCCACTTTTAGTTTGTACGTGTGTGAAATCGATTAAAAATACACTGTACAGTTAAAATCAATTATTCCGTAAACTAACAAACACTGTGGTTGTCACTGGGATTTTCATTCCATACGTGAAATTTATGTGTCACAGGTAATAAAATCCACTGTTGAACATAGGTCTCCTCCATAGATTGCCTTAAGGTGGGGGGGGGGGGGGATATTTGCCAAAGTTGCCACCCTTGGCAAGTCGGTTGGCAACCGCAGTTTTATTTTTATTTTAGTCGTTATAAAGAAGACGCTGCTGGCCATCTCCTGATTTGTTTCCCTCTGTTGCCTTCTTGACATCCACGGGATAATATGGGATAGTGGGTATTCTTACACCGCCAGTACACGTTAATAAAGATGGTATTTGAAATAGTCACCGTATGACTAATTTAATAAACTTAACATAATTATCAAAACTCACCAAATAATCAAAACCGGCGCTAAGCAGTATGTTTTCAGCCGTTGGATGCCACTCGATATAGGCGACGCGCCGCTTGTGGCCGTGCAACTCCACCAACCAGTCCGTCAAATGCATGGATAGTCCACCGTCCGGAATGTGCCATAACTTCACCTGCAATTATAATCAACAGTTTTAATATACGTCGTGATTGTGAATCGGACCATTCCAACCGTAGCTCGATTTTTTAAATAGAATTATGAATAAATACTCAAACGCTATTCAATGTTAAGATGTCGTTAAGTATCGTGTTGTCACAGTCACTTTCACTTAAAGTGACAGAGACAGAAGGACACTTAATGGCATATTAAAATTAAGTAATAGAGTGATATTGCGTTTGAGTATTTGGACAATAAAATGACAAACGAGCATACAGTTCACCTGATGGTAAGTGAATGTTGTGACCCATAGACATCTCTACATTTATCCCCGATTAAGAATCGAAACACAGATGCGTTGTCAAACCAGAGGACTAAGATGGATTGCCTCGTTTCCAGTAAAAAGGGTCTCCGGTTCTCAACACTCACAATACCGAAACACAGCAGCATTAAGCTGCTATTTTACGCTGGTATTTTGTGAGAGCGTAGTACTACCCCTGGTATAGTCTACCCATTCGTGCACCAACCATAATATAGAGCTGCAGCATGGCTCTACCACGTAAAAAATGCGTTGATGGTTTCTCTAAAACGGTAACGGCACAGGAAGAAGCATGTGGGTATGATAAATAAAAGAAATATTTCATGGCCATATTTTTTTTAGAAGAGATGGCAACCGAGCATGCGGCTCACCCCGCCGCCCATACGCATTTGCAGCACCAGGGGATTTTTTATAGGAGAGGTGACAAACGAGCATGCGGAACAACTGCATCACCATGAGAATTGCAGATTCGTTGCCGGCCTTTTAAAAAGGAGTAAGTTCTTTTCTTGAAGGTCCCTAAGTCGTATCGGTCCGGAAAAATCGCTGGTGGTAATCGATTCCACAAGGTAGTTGTGCTAGGAAGAGAACATCTTCTAAACCGCACAGTGGTAGACCGCCAATCATCCAGATGGTATGGATGGTATCGCGAGTTTTGTCGCGATGTGCGATGGTAAAATTGAGCGGCTGGAATTAGTCCGAACAATTCCTCAGAGCACTACCCTGGTAGATGCGATAAAATACGCAAAGAGATGCAACACCTCTTCGCAGCACCAGTGAATCGAGCCGTTCGGTAAGGACTCGGTCGTCGACGATTCGAGCCGCTCTACGCTCGATGCGGTCAATTGGAATGAGCTGGCAGTGGGAAGCCCCAGCCCAGATATGGGAACAGTATTATTCCATGTGAGCAGAATCTGCGCCTTGTAAAGTTGCAAGCGCTGTGCTTGTATGAAATACCCGCTCTGCTGAGCACGCCAAAGTTTTTTAGAGAACAATTTGACCTTCTCTTCTAAGTGACCATGAAATTGCACATCATTGGATACGTCGACGCTGAGGATTCCGACACTGGCTGAGGCAACGAGGGGAGTGCCCTGAAACTAAGGAGATACGACAAAGGGGTTTGTTTTTGTAGAGCGGGCCCCTCCTAGATGGAGTGAGTGATAAGAGATGTAGGATTTCGATGTTCCTTGGGAAAGGTCTATGTTTAGCAATGGACTTGTGAAAGACTGCAATGATGGTGATGATGATACAAAGTCTGCTAGTATGTACGGTAATAACACGATCACCTCCTAATTAATGTGGAAAGGCTTGTGTCCCTAGCTAAGTGGCGTATGTAGGTCGTCACTTTACTAAAGCTATAATTAAATTAAACCATTACCTAACCCTTTAAACAGATACCATCTAACCTACATTTTTTATACAAGTAAAAGTGACAAACGAGCAAGTACTACACAGTACATCTGATAGTAAGTGGATGCTATGGGCCCAAGGACAACTAAATTTATCCTCGATATAAATATCAAACTGTAGATGCATTAATGTCCCTTGAATAATAAGATGGTATTCCAATACAAATACCATAAAGCTATACGAGTTATGTCTTCACCGACCCAATGAAATTAATCGCAATTTTAAGTGTGATTACACCAGTACATCGGTGCAGAAAATACAGTGAGGCAACCTAACATGGTTCGAGAAATAAAAATATTTCAAAGACGTGTGAAAGCCTATAAGCTATAACACTTTTAATATTTATTAGTACGGTGGCAATTAGGTACATAAAGCGATACTAGCAGGGGGGAGTCTAATTAAAAGTTGCGTGAAAACAATAGACATTACGTATCGACGACTATTGTTCGGTATTATACAAACAACAAGTGAAAGCAGTTTATTTATAAAACGACTACGTACTTTAGTATATTAAACAGAGGTACCTACAAGATATAAAAAGAGCCAATTAAAGACTATCTTAACGAGTTCGCTCTTTTAAAACTATAGCACCAATTACACTTAAGAGAACTGTGAAGCTGTAAATTTCCATACAAAAAGCGATAACGTTTTTCGCCCCGTAAATATACGGTGATTCAGAGCGACCGGTATTATCGTGGAAACATTATCGTATCTGCGTAGTGTGTGACAGGCTTAAAACGTATAGCATTTTTGAAAATACCTACTCGGACCGCATTTTGGCACTTCACAATCACGCCATGAATGAACGCGCCGAACAGTGCGTTCCGCGAAACGCGTTCCAAATGTTCCAAGCGTATCAACTAAGCGCGCTTGGCGCACGCGACATCTGTTCCAGTGTTTGACCGTTCAACATGGATTTCGGATGTGTACGAACAGCTGCCGCTTTCATAGTTCCATGTATTTTCTCTGAGCGCTTTATCGTGATAAAAACTACTTTTGCTATTCCACAGCAGTAATTTTAAACCATATAGTTTTATGAATTTACGGCAACTCTGGTTATCAATAGCTCGGAACGCAACGAACACACGAATGATGAAAACAAGCGTCCCAACTGGCGCGCGCGCCAAAACTTAACTACTTTGATACGCGGTGAAAAACCGACACCAGATGGAACGGCCCGCTCCACGTTTGATCGTTCCAACGTACAATTTGGCGCGCGTTCCAAGGCGGTATCCATTTCGCGCCGCTGGTACGCGCGCCAATGTTCGACCTCTTGGAGCGCATAATCGATACGGACAACGTGTCAAAATGTAAAGACAACTAAAAGTATGACTATAATTTCTCTTTTCGCGAAAAAATATCAAACTAGAAACAATTTAGTTTTTGCACAGTTTGCCTAATAATGTGGTTTACAGTAACATTTCTTAAGATAAATGTCATCATCATCATAATCATTATTACAGCCCTTCCAAGACCACAGCTGAACATAGGCATTCCCCAAGGAACACTATTACAAAGCACAGTCTTGAGCCACCTGCACATCTCTTACCAGGTCGTCCCTCCATCTAGTGAGGGATAACCCTGCACTTCGCTCAACGCTACAACCCGGAAAACTTTCTTAGCCATCGGTTATCAGTTCTTAAAGCTATTTGGGCGGCCCATTGACACTTTATTGATCTGTTGGATTATGTAGGTTCTGGTTCCACTGCAGATATCCTCATTTTGAAGTCTATCACGCGAAGAAACTCCGAGCATAGCCCTTCTATAGCTCGCTAAGCGACCTTGAACTTCCTCATTCGGCCAGCCAAGATAGATGTACTCATAGTGGCATAGATAAAGCAGTGGAGACAACTACAAATTACAAAATATTGTTTTTATGTCACAAATTTGGAAAAAAGTATACGCAATGCAAAAATCGTAGTGAATTCTGAGCTCTGGTTTTATTATTTCGCTTAAGCTTGTAAATGCCGGATTTATAACCTAGGGTATGGTAAACATAATCGAACGGAACATCTCGTAACGATTGTCAATTTCCGCAGGTCTTTAACGGAATGCTTCAAAATTACCGTGCAATCGTCGGAGCACGAAGCGATGATGTTGTCGTTGAACGGATTCCACTTGATGTCAAGCACCGGGCCTTTGTGGCCCGTTACACGGCTCGCGTTGAAGTCAAGTCGCCCCGTCTGAAACCAAAACTTCTGTTAATGATTGGATTGTCGTATACTGTCTTACCGACTCGATAAACGGAAAACTATTTGTACATCTTAATTGAGTTTGTATAATACTCTCTAACCAATAATAGCATTTTATTACCCTCTTATTAGGTAGGTAGAACAACTTTCAACGATTTTATAACACATGTTTAATATTATTTACTACGGGTTGCCTGGAAGAGAACATATAACTATGTTAAACTTTTTTAAGTATGTCAACACACTAAAATTCATAAAAAAAAAACAATAAAGTTACTAAGTATTACTAAAATTTAGTGGGTCGTCAATCTGACATACCAAAATAACATTTATGAAAACTTAAACAATATGCATTGCAATGAGCCTGGTCAGTGAGGTGGATAAGTTCCCCGTAGTATTCTACTTTCTATTACTGTTTTTAAATCAGATGCAAACTATTTTAAATAAGTAAAATTAAAAATTTTGTACAACCGACTTCAATATAAATTATTAATAAAAAAAAACTATTGGTTAGACCTTGATCAAATTTATATGGGACTACATGTGAAGCACCCAGCTTTCAAATAAAAAAAGAATCATCGAAATCGGATCAACCAGTAAAAAGTTATGAGGTAACACACATAAAAAAACACAATCTAATTGAGTACCGGCTCCTTTTTGAAGTCGGTAGAAAATAAGTGAAACTGGGTCTGATGTACTTTTATGAGTCTCGTAATTGAGGTAAGAATTTTTTTTAAGTTTAAATATCATAAAACATATGAATACGCTACTTAACTAAGTTTATTGTGAAATAAATTACCAAGCGTATAATTCAAATAGAATGGTGATATGACTGAAATTTTAAACTGGTGACTGTTAAAAAAAGTTACTATAATTCTCGAATATGCACGAGAATTATAGTAGCCGTTACATGGTCACCCATGGTGAACTAAGAGGAAACTGGAAGGCCGGCTCGAGATGGGCGCCCCAATCCGAGTGGGCTGGGGTCCGGTGGATTCAAGTATGGCGAGGCGACAATCGCCCTATCTTCCGCGACTCCGGCGAGGCCACACCGCTGATTCGGTGGTGGTGGAGCCGTAATTTCAGGAGCACGCTACGTCCAAAACGTGGTAAGTGACGGAGCCATAGACCAGAACCACCAATGGGGTATCTGGGCCGGGAAGGCTAGTGCGCATTTTCCTGACTCAACGGCCTCCGTATAACAAGCATGAGGTGTTCCGTTGCACAAGTGAAAATAAGACCGTGTAAGAAGGAGTGCCAGTGTTCCAGCGCGGCTTGCCTGAGGAGGAGAACAGAGCTATCCTATGTAATCAAAATGCGTAGGCACTTTCCAATGAAAACGAGGATGTTAAGTGTTTATTGTCAATGAGGTAACGTTAAATAGAGGTAACTAATGTTTGTGCTAGTTAACTATTCAAACCAGGGTTGCCAAATTTTGCAAATATATATTATATATATCTTATAGTTTACAAAAATATTATATTCCATAGTCACCGCCAAATACAAGTCATCTGGGCAACGTTCGGGAGATACATCACATCTCGTTACTTATACCTCAAAACTTAAAAACAAGATTGTACGAGTGAGTGTTGCTAGTGATAACATATGGACGTGGTCCCTCACTCTGGTATGGAGCTGGCTGTGCTCAGACTTTCTCTGAGTAACAGATTTAGAAATAGAACCATATGGACGGATATAGCCCAATGGATAAATAAGCTGAAATGGTAATGGGCCGGCTAATAGCTCGAGGAACTGACAACCGATAGGGAAAAAAGATTCTCGAGTAGTAAGTCAAGCGTAGAACAAAATGGAATGACGACCTGGTAAGAGATGCAGGAAGTCGATGGACACAGATGGATCAGGACGGTGCTTTGTGGCATTTCTTGCGGGAGGTCTATATTTTGTAGTGGACTTGTGAAGGGCTACGAATAAATGAATGAGTTGATTATGAGTATCGCAAACATTGGATGAAATAGAACAGTTACCCTTTCTAACCGTATATTATCATGACACGGTAATGACAGCTGCCATTTTTAAATTATGTTTAGGTAAAATTAACTTTTTTTTTGTAGGATAGGGTGACAAACGAGCACACAGTCCACCTGATAGTAAGTGGTTGCTGTGGCCCATAGACATCTACATTTATCCTCGTTTACGAATCAAAATGCAGATGCGTTGTCACCCGTGAGGACTAAGATGGAATGCCTCTTTTCCAGTAAAAATGGTCTCCGGTTCTCTACACTCACCATACGAAACACAGCAGTGTTAAGCTGCTATTTTACGCTGGTATTCTGTGAGAGCGTAGTCCTTCCCCGGTCGAGCCGACCCATTCGTGCTACAACTATAGTACTAATATAGCTGCAGCATGGCTCTACCACGTATAAAAGAAATATCACTTTAAATAAAAATAAATATTAATTTATTAAACGTATATATTTTGCTCAGCCCTATCTTGTATGCATACTATATAAATGTAAATTACGTATTACATAAGAAATAACGTAGGTGCTTAAATTATAAAAGAAATGTAAATATGCTAATAAATCAAACGTGCTATTTGGAGTGGAATTATTAGAATTACTACTTTATGCGCGGTCAGCGCATAATCACTCGCGCGGTTTTCTTCTGAATATTTTATTTTACCGTGTAATAAAATTTGAGCAGCCTTTAAATTGACAACCATAGTTCTTTGCGGTTTAGTTCAAATTACACGTGCCTTCAAATATTTTCTCGAACGTGAAGGCTACATCACAATTTACTGACCATTGAGTACGTGACAAAACGATGTTGGTTTAGGAAATGTCACATTCGATGAAACGCGACCGCCGTGAGAGAGAACTGGGAGTTTTTGTTCAGACAGTTCGTAAGTTTGAAGAATTAATAAGAACTACCTATATTATATCGAGTAGTTTTAAAATAAAGGTTTATGTTACATACTAATGACCTGTTTCACCTTTGACTGGGTGCGATCTATATATCAAAGATCACACAGACCTTAAAGACAATTATTCGATTTTTAATAAAAAATTTACAAGTTTTTAATAAAAACTAGTTCTTAGTTCGGAATATAAAATAAGTTAAGGGTGATTACAGAAACATTTGTTGGCAACACCTGTTCGCAACTGTTGTGTTGGCAACAAAACTTTGGTGGAGACGCGGCTTAAGAAATCATTACAAGTTTTTCATATGAAATAGAGCTTAGATCACTTCTGGTATTGATCTCTATCTGTTCTGAAGTTTAATTATTCAGTTCAGCCATTCTCAAGAGGAGCTCGGATAGACAGGCAGACAAACATTCACAAAAAGTTTAGAAATGGTGTCTTAGCATGCAACCAACATACTCGTTCAATAAAAGGCAATTATTTCGATATTACAGAGAGACACATCAATTTTATTTAATATGAAGTGAGAGTATATTATAGAATATGAAATGCCATCTCTATAGATACAGTTCAAGAGACGTCAAATTGCTCAGGATTGGGACATCATCCTTTCGGTCTCACAGCCCGGGCCCCCAGGAATTTGAATTTGTTACGAGGGCGTGTCAATTTACTGCAGGACTTCCGCTTAACTCTACTTACGTCTAGCGGTCCACTTGTGTTAGTTTAAGTTTGATTTCAGAGTTTTTATTCTCCTAGGCGATGTACAAGCTAACGCGGAGGTTCATCTCGCTCATACAGAAGTAGGTGCCTATCCCAAATTTTGAGACTACTTTTAGCGAATACCCGATTACTTTTTTGGTAATCATTTTTCGGTTATAAAATATATTTTATAAAATATACCGTATAAAAATGTAAATTTACAGTCTAAGTAACCATGCTGATGATGCTCCGTTCATAGATTTCAAACGCCCTCATCTTTTATTTTTTATTTTTCAGACATGCAGTGATAAGTTAGCACATAAAACTATAATTACAATCACTTTGTGCCGGCGGAATCTAACCAAAATAGAGCGAAAAAAAATCAGTGCAAACCAAAAATTTTTATATAAGTGATTGTGACTTTCATTCAGACATTGACATTTCTTCATAGTAGTCTTTTCTTTTTTCTTTCTTTCTTTAAAAAAAAAACGTTACCCCCACACTAGGATTTTCTCCTGTATCGTGGAGGCAGTTTACAAACACAAATTGCACAAGGACAAACATCCAGACCCGGAACAATTATTTGTAGGCCATACAAATACTTGTTCCGTGCGGGATTCGAACCCGTGGCCCCCAGCGTAACAACTCATTGCTAAGCCATTGTGCCACGGAGCCGTCATTCTCCTTTATATTACTGTTTTTAAATCATATGCAAAACTATTTAAAAAACAAGAGAAACTTGGTCTGATGTACTTTTATGAGTCTAGTAACTGAGGTAATGTTTTTTTTTAAGTTTAAATATCATAAAACATACGAATGCACTACTTAACTAAGTTTATTGTGAAATAAATTACCAAGCGTATAATTCAAATAGAATGGTGATATGACTGAAATTTTAAACTGGTGACTGTTAAAAGAAGTTACAAGTATAATTTTTAGCAATTACGCTGAGAAATTACATCATTTTATTATTCACAAGTTTGAACTATTTACATACTGATGTTTTCTTATAAATACTACTTTTCAAAAGACTTTAAAAAAGACAAAAAAAAGAAGGAGGTTCTCAATTCGATTACCTCAGAACTTTTTTTTTCTAGGTGAATCGATAGTGATGATTATTTTTTTATTTGAAAACTGGTACTTCTCATGTGGTCCCATAGAAATAGATCAAGATCTGACCAATAGTTTTTGAGTTATTCTTAATAATGCGTATTTAAATGACTTCGACTACATTCTCATTTTATTTATATTGAAGTCGTTTGAACAAAATTTTAAATTTTACCACTTGTAATTTAAATAAATGTAGTAAATAATCATCACCCCTAATCTTTTTACTGAGTTGATTTTGAGTTAAGTCTATCTGGGTAAATAAGAGTATCTTTATACGTGGTAGAGCCATGCTGCAGCTAT